TCTGAAATTGATTTTGCAATTTGATTTTTAAGGATTTCGTTAAGTCGCTCAATCCATTGTACGCATCTGTCATCCAGAATGCTAAATCCTTATCAGGATCTCTGCTCGACAATCAATACACAAAATGTTCTACTTCTGTAAATGAAATTTTGAATTTTGAAACAAACTTAATACTGATGTCTGACGGCTGGACGAATATAAAAGGCAATCAAATAGTGAATTTTTGTACTAAAGCGCCTAACCAGAAGCCTTTTTTTTACACCTCGATAAATACATCCGGAATCATTCAAAGTTCATCTGCAGTCGTCGCGGCAATCTTACAAGTTATTGAGAAGATTGGCTCACAAAAAATTACCAGTTTCATTAGCGACAACGCTCCTGTTATGAAATCAGCGTGGAGGATCATCGAGGAGAAATATCCACACATCTCAGCTAGCGGATGCGGTGTTCATGGAGTCAACTTGTTTGTGAAGGACATATTTTCTACAACTGAGGCCACAAAAACAGTCAAAGATGCAAAGAAAATCATCAAATATGTGAAAAATCATCACATCATGAAAGCAAAGTTTAATGATTTTATCACTGCTACAGTTGAATTCGCCAAAAATATCAAACCTGAAATTGCTGACACTGCTGAGGATGAATTGATTGCATTTATAGGAGAAATGGCTGCGCTGCCTGAGAGAAGAAAGAAAACAATATTCAAGATGAACGCGCGAAACTATTGGAACATTATCGGTCGCAATAAATATCATGCTGTTTACGAAATTGCTAAGCTTATTAACGAAATGATCTGCTCATCGGCTACAGCAGAAAGAGCTTGGTCGACCTTTCGATTTATTCACTTGCGACTAAGAAATCGTCTTACGAATGTGAGAGTTGAAAAGCTGGTATGGACACAAAGGACAAGACTAATTACATTCTTGAAGAAGGTGCAATTCTCAATGAAATTGAATGTCAAGAAATCACCGAATAGGCGCCAGCATTATATATTTTTACTACTGTAAGAACCTTTGAAAACTCCTGTTGTTACTAATCACTAAATTTATAAAAAAGTTAAAATATTACTTAAAACATTTTTTAAGTTTAAAACTTTTTTTGTTGATTTCAAAAAGTAAATTTTGTCGGCGTAAATTAAGTAAATTTTGTCAGCGCAGACATCTGTGCAGACAAATTACATTGTCTGCGCAGACAGTCCGAACCCTAATATATATATATATATATATATATATATATATATATATATATATATATATATATATATATATATATATATATATATATATATATATATATATGTATCTATATATATATATATATACAGAATTTGTATAATTTCTTAATTGGTTGATTTTTAAATTAGCGTGCTAACTTTTCAGACCTTTAGTAATTAATATTTTTTTCCTCTGACTTTTTATTTATTTGTAATACAGAATTTACCTAAAGTTTAAACAAACAATAATTTAAAAATGTAACTTGTAATTTTTTATTAGTTTTGCAGTAGTAAATTTATTGCTTTGCTTTTTCATTCATTTTTTCAATTTAGAAAATTAACCTAAAATAATAGTAAAACTTTCATTTAAACAGCGTTTATGGTTTTTAATAAACTGAAAGTTTGAGGACCAGAAATTCTATAATTTAGCAATCACAATTTGCAATCACTTAATTAGAGTTTTTATAACTATATAAAAAAACAAAAACAAAAAAACTATTTATTCTATAAATAACTTTTATAAGTTTAAAGTAAACTGTATTGTTTTATACATTAAAATGTATTACATCAAAACAGAAAATCTTAATTTGCTAATTGAATTAAAATAAAAACATTGAAAAGAATGCTTTAAATAAATTCTAAATGAAATGTGGTTTTAAAAAATGGCAAAACAAACATTTAGTTTAAATTTTAAATAAAATAATTTATATATTTAAGTGATTTCACAATTTTTTTTTCTTCTTGATGTTCTTTTGATGGATAGAAAACATTTGTTGAAAGTTAAAAAAAACGCTATTTGTTTATTAACAAGAGGTTTTTTAAACACTCGCCAAAAAAAAAGGGTGTGGGGGCTAGTGTTTTTTAAACACTAGCCCCACACCCTTTTGCGGTAGTGGGGGCTAGCGCAAAAGTTGCAGCCAAACAGAAAAGACTGATATATATATATATATATATATATATATATATATATATATATATATATATATATATATATATATATATATATATATATATATAAATTAAAGTTTTGAATTTTTAACTTTTTGTAAAATAATTATTGTCCTGTGTCATAAAGTGATGAACTTTTGCGTAAAAGTAATGAATAAAAAATAATGGTTTTATTCTCAATAATTTTCATAAAAAGTCACCCACAACACAAAATTTTCAAAATGACATATAAAAGTAGTATTTCCAAGAAGTAGAATTATGACTTTACGAAACCTAGAACTTCCTAGAACCTCATGGAACTTTCTAGAATTTTCTGGACTGTTTTTTTTTAGAAATCTCTATAATGTTCTAGAATTTTTTGTGATTTTAGAATTTTTTAGTTTTTTTCCTGATTGAGCAATACTAATAATTATATATAAATCTGTATTTGCCAGATGGAAGTCAAGAATTAAAAAGTAGCACTTATACTTATTATTATTGCATTTCAGAAATATGTTCAATAATAATGTCCTATGATAAAAGTGCACCCATTACTGAAAAAAATTAAGATGATCTGGATAAAGAATCTCTTATGATTTTATGAGTCACATAGGAAAAGAACTGTATCGCTAGAAGAGCAAGCACTGGAAGATAAGAGCAGGATACCACTAAAAATCCAAATGGTTGGTTGCTATCTGTTTCTAGGAGAATCCATCAAAAGGAAACAAGAACATATAAAACAAATACAAGTTTAAGGCAAAAGATATAAAACTTTCTACATTATCAATTCAAGATGTACAGGGAAAACTGAATCAAGTGCTGAAGATGTACAATATAGGTGTAAAGCAAAGAAAACACAATACATTGAATAAAGTTTTTGACATCAATTCAATTATCAATTCAAGATGTACAGGGAAAACTGAATCAAGTGCTAAAGATGTATAATAAACGTGTAAAGCAAAAAAAATACAATACATTGAATAAAGTTTTTGGCATCACAAAAAAAGATGATGAATGGCTATTCTGAGGCAGAATATCAAGAGTCTGTAAGTTCAGAAAAACAGTCTACAAGTACCAGAAAAAGCAACAGCAAAACTGCAACTGCAACATACAAAAAATTACAGGGGTTAAAATTGGTGTCGAACATGTCTCAAAGAGAACAGGTCTCAACAGTCCGTCCCTGGACTGTTGAGACCTGTCTCCTAACCACCATTGCTCATTTTTACTGACAAAATATACAATAGTTGGTTGCCCTCATCTAGCAGATCTCAAGAATGGCCCAAGGTACAATGATGTCAGGCACCTATTTCAACCCCTGAATTAGTAACATCTTTTAAGTAACCATCCAGCAAAGTAGCAACTATTTGTTGACAGTTATTTCAAGATAGAATCTACATTCAGACACCATCACAGTATGTTTAGATCAATTTTTAAAGAGGCTATTAAACTTAAAGAAGAGTGCCTTTAGAAAGCTGGTCACTGCACTTTTATGGTAAACATATTAGTTACCAAGAATATCAAGTGTTAGTGTTGAAGAATAAACAAAGAGAAGTTAATGTTCGAGCACTAGATGGAAAAGCAGGTACTGAATACAATTTATGGAGCATAATGATGATTGTAGCGGACACTATGAATCTAAACACTGGAAGAGAAAATCAGATTATCAGTCAGATACAAAAATATCTGACTGATAATCTGAAAAAAAAAAACTCAGTGAAAAAGTTTGGAGAACCATCGAGACTAGAAATTCGAAGAACAAATCAGTGTGCAGAAGCAATCAAGTGTTTTGAAAATCTTTTTGACATCTATAAAATAAAAGAGAACATTGGGCTTAGATAATTTTTTTCTAATTTTAGTATTAAATTCATTCTCAAAGGCCAACACTTCTTCATTTTCAGTAACTTCTGGGTATTTCAACCTTTTGTCCTGTATTATTTTTTTTATCTACATTAATGATATTTCTGACAATCTTTTATCTAAAGTGGCCCTATTTGATGATAACTCAACTTTATACTCCTGTCTTGACAAAAAGTCTTCTCTTTTTGTTCAATAGAAAAGGCAGCTGATCTTAAATCTGATCTCTTTTCTGCTTGACGCTTGCAAATTTTAACTCAAAGAAAACTAAGTTAATTACTAGCGCGATATTGTCAACATTCCCATATTGATGAATGGGAACCCTATCATCAAGTCCTCTTCTTTAGCCTTCATGGTTCATATCTCACTATTGACCTCTCATAAAAACAGTATAAACAACCCATAGCAAAGTTGGTATCAGCTAAGGTAGCTTCTCTTTATTGCGCTTGACATTTTCTTACTCCTGATTTCATTTTCTACCTCAAATACCAACAAATCTCTTATTCATCTCTGTATGAAATACTTTAGTCATATTTTGGCTAGTTTTTCTAATTACAATCTTTCTCTTCTAGACATGGTCAAAAAATGCATAGCCAATGTAGTTGGACCTGCTATTGCAAATCTGCCAAACTTGAGCCACTGTCCAATTGTCATAAGGTCACATCTCTTTATTTATTATTTTGTTGCTTTAAAAACTTTTTAAGAAATAAAGTCCCTTTATGCTTTATAAATTTTTATTCGTCTAGTTATTTGCCTTGCACTTCAATGCTTTGGAAGTCTCACCCATTTTCATGTTTTCCTGACTCATACGGCCTACAACTTTTTAAGTCTTCTGTTGCTCTTCATTTATGCTCTTAAGCGCTATTTTTTCTTTTTTAGTGATTAATTGGTTTGAAAGTGTTTAATAATGTTTGTTTGCAGCATTTTTTTCCCCTTCTTCTTAGCATTTTTAATACTAAAAGACAAATATAATTTCCAAAACTTTGAAACAAATTAAAAAACATACCTTTGATGATGATCAAACTTATTCTTTTCTGGATCATACACTCCTCCAACATCAACAACAATTGAACATTGACTTAACTTAGCATTGTCTCTTGTTCGAATTATAGAAGCATTTTTAAAACGAGGAAGTTGTTTTAACATCCAACAAGCGAAAACTTCATCACAATGAAAAGTTCCATCATGCGTCCCAATAGATAAAAAATCAGCACACTGTTTTTTAGGAGAAGCAGAAGACATTTTGTTTAAACCTATTATAATAAATATCAATATCTGTATTTTTTTTAAAAAACTTAGGTAGTAAAAATAAGTAGCACAAATATTGAGTTTGCTACAAATTTTGCTTTGAAAATAACAGTTTTTATTTAGAGATTTTTTAAAAATTGTTAAGTAGGTGCTGGTTATTTATTAATAATTATAAAGTTAAAAAAGACTTTTTAGGTAATTTAAATATAATTAGTCTTAAATACATAATTAAAATTTGCTTATGTATATTAAAATTAAGATGAGGTAAATAAGAAGGTCGCATCTATTATTAAATAAATAAACTAAATAATTAAAACAAATATTTTTATAATAGTATATACAGACATATATGATATTTCTGATGAGTCTCTGAAGAAACAGTGTAAAAATGAAAAAGAATTAATAAGTGAATTATATATAATATATAAAATATATACACACACACACACACACACACACACACACACACACAAACACATATAAATAGGCCAAAATAATGTTTTTGAACCCGATAGACTTTAATTAATTGAACTTAAATGGCTCAAAACCAGTTTGCACATTGCTTTAGGAGCAAGTGCTACAATTAATTCAAATAAATAATTAAAATAAATATTTTATATATTTGTAGATAAAAATATATAAAATTTTATATATATTTTTATATTTATTTATACATTTATAAGAAAATATTAAATATATTTATTTATAAATAAAAATATATTATATATATTTATACATAGATTTATATTATATACAAAAACTATATTTAGAGCTGTGTGGGCTTTATTACATACTTCAACTGATCGAATTAAAAGCATACAAGGAGTGCTTAACATTTACTAAGGGTTTGGGTTGAGCTGTCAATCAAATTTTTTTCATTAATCTTCATTCTTTTTCTAAAAATTTAAAGTGCACAATTTAAGAATTAAAGTGTACAAAAAATTCATTTTTTAAATACTCACGGGGACATTTAGTACGTTTGAACTTATACTTTAGTACTTTTTGCTCTCTATAAAAGTTGCTTACAAAGAATACTTACGTCCCCGTAAGTATTCTTTAGCAAAAAGTACATATATCGACTATCAAATAGCCTGACTAGCAAGAGAGTGCTGATACATTGACAAAAGGTTTGGTTGGGGTCAGCATCAAGGACAGGCTTAGGGTCACGACAAGGTTTAAATAAAGTTATATTACTGTAATTAATCATTTTTGTAAATAGATGAAAAAATATATATATATAATATGTAATAAATAAATAAAAATAATAAAAATAAATATAAAAAATAGATTTTTATAATAAAATAATAAATTTAAATATGTATATATAAAAATTAAAAAAAAAAAAATTAGAAAAAAAGTAAAAAAAAAAAAATGGGATTAAAAAAAACATGTCTCTAAACATCAACTAGGAGTGTATATATATATATATATATATATATATATATATATATATATATATATATATATATATATATATACATATATATATATATATATATATATATATTATATATATATATAGATATATATATATATGTATATATATATATATATATATATATATATATATATATATATATATATATATATATATATATATATATATATATATCCTTATAGTGTAGTCGAAAGAGACTTTAATGGTAAAAAAAGTCTCTTTCGACTACAATTTTTTTACCTTGTCTCTTAAGCTGCATTTTATAGTCGTCGAAATGTCAAAGCAATTAAATTAATACGGAAGTACATTAAATTTTATTGTTTTTTAAAAAAACCGCAATAATAATGACAAGAAAGTTTTTTTTAATTAGTGGTGTTTTTGTTTTATTAAAAAACATTTTTAAAACATGCGTAAGTGTTGCTACATCAACTATCTTATAGCCTGCTGCTACAAAATAGTGTTGCTACATTGACTATCTTATAGCCTGACTCACAACGGAGAGCTGCTACATCAACTGACAAATAGCTTGACTTGCAAGGGAGTGCTGCTACATCGAATGACAAATAGCCTGACTCGCAAGGGAGTCTTGCTACTTCGACTGACAAACAGCCTGACTCCCAAGGGAGTGCTGCTACATCGACTGAGGGTTTGGTTTGGGGAGTCTATCATTAAAAAAAAAAAAAAATTTTTTGAAGTTTTTCAACATTTACTGGTCAGGCTTATTAACGCGCTCTTTAAAACAACAGTTTATGGGAAAAACTTTGTGACTCCCATGCAAGACTATATATATATACATACATATACATATATACATATATATATATATATATATATATATATATATATATATATATATATATATATATATATATATATATATATATATATATATATATATATATATATATATATATATATATATATATATATATATATATATATATTGTAGAAAACCAAAGTATTATATCTAAACTTATTTGTCAAAAATATATCTGGAAACATAGGCAGTCTTTGCTAAGACAGAAAATATTTTTTGCAAAAGTTGTATGTAAATTATTAAAGCCATTAGAAGTAAATTTTAAGTGCAAGAGTTATGGAAACATCAATATTTTGCCTGAATGTGCTTCTATCTATTTTAAATTTATATTGTGCTTAACAGAGAATCAATTATACCTTTTAAAGTAAATACCATGAATCGCAGGGATTGCATGACTGTATAAACCTTTGACAGTTACAGTCAAGTGTTTGTAACAATAAAAAAAAAGATTTGCTATATAAAGCTTGCTACATTCCTGCAGTGTCTTATCCAGTCTTTAAACTTCAAGGGAAATCAAATATTTATTGGAAAAAAAGTTTTTTTCTTTCTAAAAACAATATATTACATAATTACTAATTGAATAAGTAAAAATGGTTGTTGTGCAACAAAAACAATCACTAGCTATTATTTTATATATAAATTTTTTATATATTTGTAGGCACTTTATATATTTATACATTTATTATTACTTTATAGATCTTTAGTATATATTTTTACTATTTTGTTGAACAGCTTTGTTAAGTTCATTTGTTTAATAATATATTAAATATTTTATTGCATATAATCAGATATAAAAAAAATTTAAATAAAAATAATAAAAAAAGAACTAGAACAAAATATAAAAATAGCTTGGTTGGAGATTCTTCCAGAAAGAGTTTGAGGAAAAAAAAAGAATTTTCAAATTTTAACAAATTTTGTTACTTGATTTTTTTGCTATATACTTATTTATGTTAAGGCTTGCATTTATTTAAAAATTTCCATTACTACTAAACCTTATCTTTTTAACACCATTAGTAATGAAAACAAAAGTAGTCTATTTTCACTCCCTCCTCCCTGTTAAAGCCCTTTAATTTTTTTTCAATTATCACTCTCTCTTAAACTCCTTTAAATTTGAGGGAGTTACAAATTTTATATGGTCATAATTTTTGAACACTGAGAGATAATACTATGAAAATGAATAAAATAAATCAACTTGTTGCCCCTCGATTTTCCGGTGGGGGATATGTAATGATTTTTTATTTATTTTTAATTAAAGCAGATTTTTATATGATGATAATAAATCAATTAGAAAAATTTTTATTGTTTATTAAAAATAAATATATATATATATATATATATATATATATATATATATATATATATATATATATATATATATATATATATATATATATATATATATATATATATATATATATATATATATATATATATATATATATATATATATATTATTATTATTATTATTATTATTATTATTATTATTATTATATATATATATATATATATATATATATATATATATATATATATATATATATATATATTATTTTTAATAAACAATAAAAATTTTTCTAATTGATTTATTATCATCATATAAAAATCTGCTTTAATTAAAAATAAATAAAAAATCATTAGTTGAGTTATTACCGTTGTTGTTATATATTATTTTGTAAATATTATAAATGCATCATTAATATTATCTGATAGAATTCATTTAAAATTGGTCTTAAACTTTTTTTAAATGAACTTGGTTGTAAGATCTTGTCAGAATATATTGATTGATATATATTGGAAACATGAGGGAAAAAGCTAAATACAAAAAGTTAAAAAAAAAAAAAAAAAAACATGTGAAAATTAAGGCGAGCGTGAGCACTGATTATGACGGACCTAACGTACTAAATAGTCATGTTTACTTTAAGCTATATTTCACTAAACTTTAAAAAAATTATGGCTTTCACAAAAGTTAAATTAATTTTTCTAATAAACTTTGGTTAAAAAATTATTAGTTAAGTTTAGTTATATGTTGCTAAGTTTTTTATAAGATACGATAAAGGGTATATTTAGTTATTTTTAACTATATTTACGAAGTAGGAAGGGGGGGTGGAAGGGGGTTCACAACCATTAACTTATGAAAAAAGTTCTCTGTATCAAGATTTTTCTTAAAAAAAAAAAAAAAAAAGGTCCTCTAGAAAAAAAGTGGAGAGAGGGCACGTGCCCTCCTGACCAACCCCCCTCCTCCTTTGTCGTCGGCCCTGTTTACATAGTTAGATTATATTTATATGTCTAATATAAATATAATCTAACTATGTCGTCGGCAAAGTTAGATTATATTTATATTAGACATATAATATAAATATATGTTTACATAGTTAGATTATATTTATAAGGCTGACTGAGTGCTGGATCCGTATGTTGATTATTAGACTTTGATATTTTTAAAAAAGAATAAGGCAATGCCTGCCTATCGGCGAGCATTGTATGGTCAGGGTTAGGGTTAGGGTTACATTAATTACACATAAACATGGATTTTTAGCCGATAAGGCAAACTCGTTGTACACGAGTAGCACTTGTAGCACTTGTAACAGCCGTAATAGCACTTGTAAAAGCACTTGTAACAGCCGTACCAAAAACTTTTTAACTTCTCAAATCTACGTTAAATTTAAAGAGAAAACAGTTAGCAAACAGACTTTATTTACAGGATAAAATAGAAAAAAAAGTAAACAATAATAAAGTTGAATTAAAAGAAATAAATAATGTTGAAAATAATAGTATAACCGCTAAATTACTTTTAAAAATAAGCATTTATTATCTCAAGTTAAGTTTTGTTGACTAAAAAAAAACTCAAGAAACTAAAGATAAAGAAAAGTTATAATTATTATGATAAAAAGATGTTCAAAAGATGAATCAATAGTTAATCTAAAAATTTTTGAACACCAAACTTCAATTTTTTGAAAGCCATTTACGCATGAACAATTGCGTTAAACAACTGTGGGTGAACTTTTTAGTGTCGTCCCTCTAGACTAGCATGTGGAAGGTGAAACTAAAAAAAGTCTTCAATATCTAGAAACTTCTAAATATAGAGGACGCAATTTTTTTTATTAAAAACAACAAATTTTACATTCAACTACAGGTGAAAAAATTTACATAATATTTGATTTAACACATCTTATGAAAAATGTTCTAAACAATTTTTAAAAAACATGACATTTTATCTGATGGTAAAATAATATTGTGGAAGCATCTGCAAAAAACTTAATAGTTTGGAGGTTAATGCTTTGTACCAGAATTGGCAGATTGTTATTTAGATTTAGGATCAATATGAGCTATGCTATGCACCAGAAAAATGAGCTATGCTATGCACCAGTAAACTTGTTGCCAATTTTACTTGCAAGGCTAAATAATACTTCTTTGACTAAATATGTTTCTTCAAAATTATTTCTTGAAAATCTTTTACCAACAGCCTTTATTATTATAAATATGAAGATTTTATTTGACATCTTGAATTCTTATAAACTAAAGACAGATACCAACACACTCTGCCAAAACCAACACACTTTAACTCTAAACGATGGTTTTATACAACAGCTTGAAGATTTAAAAGTTTAGATTAATGAGTAGCATTTTTCTGGTGTACGCAGCCAGAAAGTTATTTTCGTTCATCTAGGTTTTGATGTCACTATTTCTTATATTCTTTGACTCGAAAACGAGTTGCTTTATGAGGATTTCTTTTTTGTTTGCACAGCTCAATTTAATCAAGACTGTTTAGAAAAATTTTTTGCATTAATTTGAAGCAAGGAGGTTGGAATGACAGACCAACAGTAATTCAATTCAATTTAGCATGTCAAAATATATTATTACTTCTTTCAATATCTAGTTCTAACAGTAATTGCCTCCCAGAATTAGATTTTTTTGCTTCAGTTACTATTGATTCAATTACAAGGTGCTCAATAAGTAAAAAACTTAAACACCAAAACGTCTATCAAAAGAATACCCAGCAAAAAACACATGTAAAATAATAGCTTAGTATGATTTTACTTATTTTTTAAATAAAGTTTTTTAGCATCAAAAAAACTAGAAGTTAATTTAACTTATGACTGACCTATTGTGTTGTTATTTATATTAACAATATGTTATTACTATACAACTATAAAAACAGATATATTTTTTCATTCAACATCTGGCTACAGCATCTGTTAAAATAATTTAAACAGCAGTCAACTTGTTTTGTTTTATCCTAAATTATTCTTTATGCCATCGAGAACACGGTAGATGTTAGGTCTCGCTTCATTTAGAAAATGTTTTACATTGAACACTTTTGGTTTATCAAGATGCAAAATTCTAAATTAGCAAATACGATTTTTAAGGTCTTTTTATACTCTTGATTATTAGTACTATTGAAAATTTAAATTTTAAAATTGTTTAATTATACGATTGCATTATTCATTATAATGAATAATGCAATCTTGTAAATAAGATTTTATATACATTGTTTTATTGGAAATATACAAATAACTCTATTGATACAAAATGACTAAAACAAAACTTTTTATTTGAGAGATATTATTGGCATAAGTTTTGTTAATGTCACGCCAGTTGTGTCAAATGTTGCTAAACTTGAAAAAAATAGGTTTACTATACTTTTAACATCAAAAAAAAACATAGGAAGCTTGTAATCTCCCTGTTTTCAGAACATCATAATTAGTTGAGTACCTCTTAAATTTTTATTAATCCAAATTAACCCAGTAAGATTACCAGTGTTCTAAACTAAATCTTTTTAAACTTTCATTTCATCAATCATAATTTTAATAAATCATTCAGAACGAAGTGAAGTTAAAATTTACGAGATTATATATATGATTTAAGGGTTTAAGCTTGTTGAAGTATGTACACTATTTTTAAAGTCTCTCCAGGTGTATAAACTTGGAAGAACTGAAAATACCCAAAAAGTTTTGCTATCAAATGAAAATCAGAATGTTGTAGTTTAGAAGCTAAATCAAACTAAAGAAAAGCATTCAACTTTGCGGATCGATTTTAAGTTTTTCATAAATGTTTTCTTCATATATGGTTTAAAATAAGTTGTCAAGATAAAAAAAAATGGCTCTAAAACCAATACTTTTACAAGATTTTATTAAAATGTTGCAACCAATCCATAAAAATCGTCTTGATTTAATCTGTTTTAAACCAAGCAACACAAGAAGCAAATTTAATATGAGCGACCGTGGCGAAGTGGTTAGAAAGCTTCCTTAAGAAACAAAAGACTCAGGGTTCGAAGTGAGCTCTGTGACAAGAACGTTAGGTCTTCATCAGAAAGAGCATTTAACCATAAAGTTAACGCCTTCCTCCTTGTCAATGTCGCTTATCTGGCCAGAGACGGTATCGATACTCGAACCTCTTAATTCTGTGCCAGAACTCCCACCACTGCGCCACGCTTTATTTCCGTAAAACTTTAACTGGCTTTCTTGGTAGAGAAATGTCAAACCCCTTGTCAAACCAACGTTGAGCGTCCTTCACATTTCGCGACGTTAGATTTATCTTGTTGTATCTCCACTTTCTGAAAAAATTGAGTTAATGGTTGTGTTGTGTTCCTCAAAATAATGTCTTTCTACTGAATTGAAATCTAAGTTATAAGTAAAAAAGTTGCGGAAAAAACATAAGTTATAAAAAAAAATTAATACGCCGTCTCCTAAAGTTTTCGTTTTTTAAATCGTTTTATCTCAAATCTAAAAAATGTGGAGATAGAACAAGATAATTCTAACGTCGCGATTTGCTAACTCGAATTTTCCGAAAAAGAACAGGTTAAATTTAATTTTTTAAGCATAATTTCTTCGAAAAAACTACCTGGCTCCTTCAGGGTTTATATTTGCAAGCTTCACTTTATTAAAGATCAATTACAGGGATTTTCAAATTAAAAAAGTTTTAAAAACGGAGCGTGGCCAACTGTAAATCTTCCTAAGTAAGTAATCCATCTTTATGAGTTTGTCATCAGTTTAAAAACGTTAAGAGATTTTAGTAACGCAAGAGTTGATTTTTTAAACTGCAATATCGTGTTACTAATTTTTTTAAATTTTACACAATATATTTTGAATCTCTTTTTTAATGATTCGGAAAATATCTTTGGATGACAGATTGTAATACAGAACATACTGAGTATGAAATATATGTTATAGAAATGCTAGACTATAGCATAAGAATTTTTGCTTGGATATTATCAAATCATCAATCTTTTTAATTTCAATATGTAAGAATCTTTTTAAAATGATTCTTTATTAAATAATATTTATTCCTTATATTGGTTAATCATTCCAATTATAATAAATTAAAAAAATTATAATAAATAACAAATTTCGATTAAATAAATCTAATAAGAAGGTTTCAAAATAAGTTTAAAGGAACAAAAATTTAAAAACAAATTAAAAATAAAAGTATATATATATATACATATATATATATATATATATATATATATATATATATATATATATATATATATATATATATATATATATATATATATATATATATATGTATATATATATATATATATTGCCTTAGGAAGACCTAACGTTCTTATCACAGATGCTCTGTAATAAGAATGTTAGATTTTCTTTTTTTAAATTTAGGTGCCACATGAAGACCGAACGGTCTTGTCACAGAGCACCGCGGAAGTGCATTTAAGCAGGAACTTTACGCCTCCTTCCTTACTGCGACGCGAAAATATATCCAGAGCTCGTTTCGAATCTGGGTCTCCAGCTTATAAAGGAAGCGCTCTAACCACTGCGCTACAGCCGTATATTTTCTTGAAGCACCTTAACAACTAAAAAAACAACATCGTACGCTGATGTAACATTTTTTCGGAAGACTCCTTTTGAAAATTTTCAGGAAATTGTAAACGCATTAGTTAACAATACAGTATTTACAAATCCCTACAATTATTCCTATTGTTAGCCAATGCAAGTATTTTTTTTCTTGTATAAAAGATTTATACTGTGATAGTTCCTGAGGTGAGTTTCCAAAAAAAAACTATGTTCCCTCAATGTTAAATTTTTTCATAAAATACAGTTTATGTAAGCTCATAATAAAATGTCGGGAAAACAAAACCTTCGGGTTGTTTTTGTATTGATGGTAGATGTTGGTTTGGTTCATTTCTAAAAAAATAAAATATTTTTGATTATTGATACAATAATTGCATTAATATGTTGATTTATAAATGACTGAAAATACTTAGGCGAATCCGGCGCTTTTTCTTTTTCATCGTCAGAGTGTCGACCAGTTAAAGAAGTACCAGAATTTGAAGAGTAAGGACCAGAATTTGAAGAGCAAGGAGCCTCTACATTATTAACACTTTGTGATTCTTCCATCTTTAAAAACAATTAAATAGCAATAAAAGACTATTATGTAAAAATAACAGTTAATTAAAAAATAAATTACGATCTATTATAACTAATTATTCTGATTATAACAAGTTATTTTGAATATAACAAATGATTCAATTCTGAATATAACAAATTATAATTAATTATTGTGATTACAACAAAATATTCTGATTATACTAATTATTCTGATTTGAATTAGTTATTCTGATTATAACTAATTATTCTGATTTGAATTAGTTATTCTGATTATAACTAATTATTCTGATTTGAATTAGTTATTCTGATTATACTAATTATTCTATTTATACTAATTATTGTGATTATGATCTCAACTTGTTCTATTAACTATTTCTAATAGTTCTTATTTTCGTTTTTTTTTCTTTTAAATTCAACTATGTTAATAAACTTTACAATATGCACAATGAAGTTAAATAAATATACATAACAATTTTACAATAATATATACGGAGTTATAGGATTGAAAGCAAAGAGAGAGAGAGAGAGAGATAGAGATAGAGAGAGAGAGAGAGAGAGGTATAGTATTAAAAATTGTGTAGTCTCCTGGACTAAAGGTAGCCTTCAGGCCTTCATGTTGATATAATAATTATTTTACTAAAAATAATAATAATTATAGTACAAGTAAATAATAATAATTCAAATACATTTTACTCGCATATTTTTTTATTTATTATTATAATTATTATTTGATATTTAATCTTTTTTTTTTGTCTATTATGTTTTACCTATCTTTAATTGTATCTATGTATGTAGTAATTGCAATTGTTTTATGATATATATTATTATATAATGTATTTTATCATAGAATGCTTATATACATCTCAGAACACAGGTTTTAGCTGTATGAGTGTGCAACTTACCTTGAAAAATAAAATATATAATAAACTTTAGGTCGGCATATGTTGATATGTAATTATGTAGGAGTATGTATTATATGTTTTGATTATATATCTTGTACATAACATTAAAATTTTTCCTTTGTCTTTAGTACTAAAGAGTGTTACTGCCTCAAAATTATTTGATTTTCTACTAATCATTTTATTTTTACTATTTTTTACTAAGCACTCGAACATTTTTCATTTCTTATCTTTTTTTAACGGTTTATTTTGATAAAATTGATGTGGACCAAGAAGCTGAAGTTATCTTTGAAAATTTCTGATTTAACTGATATAAAATTCACTTCTTTAAAATCAGCAAATTTTTGGATTTTTTAAAAATTTTTTAAGGATTTATCAGAGATTTTTAATTTCAAATTAGTTCATAATAAAAGCCTGATCAAAAAGTATTTTTTACTTTTAAAAATTGTTATCCTTTTTATATGAAGCAATTTAAATCAATCATAAAAATTAATTTAAAATTATTTTATATAATTTAATATTTATTATTATTTTTCTGACCAATATCATACGCATACTTAATAGATATAATATATATTATATATATAATATGATAATACAAAATAGATATAAATTCAAAAAAATATAAACTTAAACAATATAAATACAAATAAAATTAATATAAAAAAAAATAAATACAAAAACTATAAATACAAAAAATATAAATAAAAAAACTATAAATACAAAAACTATAAATACAAAAAACATAAATAAAAAAACTATAAATACAAAAAAATATAAATACAAAAAATATAAATATAAAAAATATATACACAAAAAATAGCTGCTTTTAATTTTAATTTTGTCAAGAAGTAATCATAGCAAGATGATGGAGAATATCTAATAACGGGTTTACATTAGGAAGGGCGTTCATTGTAAAAAATACTCTTCTTCAACTTAACTTTAGAAACTTGTCCAAACAACACATGTGTATGTAACATGTATGTTATTGTTGTTGCTGTTGTTGTTGTTGGACATTAAATTTGATACAATTAAGATAACATAACAACGAACACAAAAAGTTCAAAAAAATTTACACTGATTGCAAAACAAATTTTTTTTTTTATAACAAGTTGAATTAAAATGGTTAATGCAACCAGTAAAATTGCATTTATAAACAAGTTCGTTAAAAGGTGCCATAACATTAGCTACATTGTCTCTCATCTTCTGTGACATCTTTAAGCTTCTACAGAAAAGCTTCTACAGAAAAGCTTCTACAGAAAAATAATTTCAGCAGTTTGACACTCATCAATATTGATGTATGAGAAACAAAATTCATTCTCTCCCAATGTTTAGAGATAAAACAAATTGTAAATCCTATATAGCCATCAAAACTCAAACAAGTATTGAGACAAAGAGACACTGTTAGCTCTGGAAAAAGACAGGTAGCTCTAGAGTCGTTCATAGGTAGCTCTATGCAGTCGTTCATAGGTAGCTCTATTCAGTCGTTCATAGGTAGCTCTATGCAGTCGTTCATAGGTAGCTCTAGAGTGTTTCATTCATAAGATTATTGATACTCAAATTCAGAGTGAAAAATTTTCAAATTAAATTTCATATATTAAACTAAAGACTAGGGAGACAACTATTAGGGAGATAACTATTAGGGAGACAACTAATAAGGATGCAACTAAACAATATTTATTGTTGAAAAAAAACTTTTTTTTTAAATAAGTCAAACAACACCGATTACAAGTGAATGATGCTTACTGTTGTTTTTTATTTTTTATTTACTTACTGATGTTTAAAAATTTTTGGTTCTATTTGACTTACTTGTTAAAAATAACAACAGTTTATAAGTCCAAGTACCAAAAATGTATTGAATCAAAAGTTTTTTGTCTATTTATCTAGTCTTTTTGTCTATTTTTGTCTATTTTTCTACTTTTTTTATTTTTACTTTGTCTATTTTTTTGTCTATTTTTTTGTCTACTTTTTTGTCTACTTTTTGTTTATTTGTCTAGTTATCTGTATTGCTCTCCTTAAAGATTTCAAAACAACAACAACAAAATCAACTATTAAAATTTAAATTATTCTTATAAAAATGGTTTTCAAACATCAGATAGTAAGATTTCTAGAGTTTGTGTTGAGTTACAAAAAAGATTTTTTGTTTAGATTAAAAAATTCTTAATCTGCGACATTAATACTTGTAAAATCATCTATATATTAAAATTTTTATTTCATGATGTCAAATATAATTAGAACAACTATAATCTAATTTGATGTTACCTTTAGTTCAAACTCTTCAAAAACCTTTTTAACCTCAGATGTCATATCTTCATGAGAGTACTTGCATGAACTTCCTTTATTACAAGATTTCAACACATGATAAAATCTACATGGCCACTGCTCTAAAATAAAAACAACTCTAAAATAAATGCACTTAATAATTTCTCCAAATCAAAACTAATGAAAGAATATATAAAAACTAATGAAAAAATTAGTAAAAAAAACAACATTTTATTCAATAAAAAATTAAATTCAAAAAACTCAACAAGTTAATAAAATCCAACAAAAATAATGTTAATAATAAAAATAATAAAATATAAAAATAATGTTAATAATAAAAAATTACAATTTAATTAAATAATTAGCATCTGCATCTGCAAAGATTTTTAGTTTTGTAAAATATCTAACTATATCTCTCCTGGTCCTGAATTATTTATTATAATTAGTTAACTTATTAACACAAACAAAACTGTTAGTTTTTTGTGTTTTTTTTCCCTGTATATATATATATATATATATATATATATATATATATATATATATATATATATATATATATATATATATATATATATATATATATATATATATATATATATATATATTATATTATATATATATATATATATATATATATATATATATATATATATATATATATATATATATATATATATATATATATATATATATATATATATATATATATATATACATGTTTTATTGTAAGCTGGTTGTAACAACCATGGTTTTAAAAAATTCAAAAAATTAAATTAAAAAAATATATATACAACCTTCGGAATAAGGAAAAAAGAGGCGGCAATAATATGCCAAACTTAACCTTTTAGAGGTCGGCATCAGGTTGGCAGAAAAAATTTGATACAAAGGTCTTACCATAAATCAAAGAAACGAGGTCGGCAATTTTTTGCCGACCTCAAACACTTTAAGGTCGGTAGTTAGGTTAGCATTGCCAAATGCTGACCCTAATTGAGGGTTGTGTATATATATATCGAGGGTTGTGTATATATATATATATATATATATAATATTAATATATATTATATATATATTATATTATATATATATATATATATATATATATATATATATATATATATATATATATATATATATATATTTATATATATATATATATATATATATATATATACATATATATATATATAATATTAATACAAATATTATTAAATTTACCATGCATAAATAAACAATTATTTTCTTTACGACATGCACCAACCACATAAAATTTGCACAGCTCTATTCGTTTATCAATTTCAATTTTGTGTGAAAAACGACACTGATCACCCTGTCATAAAATATTTTTCTTTACAAAAAAATTATTACTAATAGTAATTAATAACTACAAAATAAACAAATAAATAGATAAAAATAAATAAAGTTCATGAGGTTTCTTATTTACAAAAGTCTTTATTTTTTCTTAAAAGTATTCCATAATTCTCTTTACATTTTTAGAGTTTCTGGGTATCAAAAAACAGAAAGAAACAACCATTTTAAGACTTTCAAATCCCTGTGGAGGATGTGGAGTCTTTTTTTTGGGACATGCACCCCTGTTACTACATAAACAAAAAATATATATATATATAAATAAAAACTTACATAATCGCAAAATCCTTTCTTTTTAAAAAAGGGACAAGGCAAAGAGGCGTCATGAGCTTTTTTTTCAGCCTCTCGTTGAATCTCAACTTTTCTTTTATCAAGATATGCTCGCGATGCAACTTTTTGTTTCTCAGACTTTCTCTTTTTAGGTTTGGTTCGATCTTTAGGAATTAAAAGCTATATTATAAACATTTTCCTAATTTATTAATAAATATAACAATTTTTTTTTTTGGTTCTAGAAAACTTGATAGACAATAAAACTTGCTAGACAATAAAAACTTAAAGAGATTTTTTTATAACATTGCTTCAATTTTGATTCATTCATTACACTTCTTCAGATATGTACCCCTTGTTTACCAGAAATACCCCCTGTTTAGTTATCCCCCTGTATAGTCATTGCAAAGTTTAAACTGTGTGACTAAGCTTTAAGTAGACTTTGAAGTACGCAAAAAAAAAAATAAGTTCCAGTAGCAAAAACTTGAAATTATATAATCAAATAAAAAAATAAACAGTAATATAAAATATAATAAATATAATAGATAAATATAACAGTAATAAATTAAAACTCATTATTGTCATTATTCTAAATGTTAAAAATGAGAGACAATATAATGCTTCCAAAGCTATTATAATACTTCTGAAACTATTAAAATGCTTCTGAGAACAACCATTGTAATGCCTCTAAGAAATAAAACTAAAAAGACTCTGAGAAAATCCAATATAGGAAACTGTCTAAATTGAGAATGACTAGTAAAAAAAACTGTTTTATATTACTAAATATTTTAATTATTGTATATTTATATTGAGTTTTTAATTTATCCAATGTATAAACTTAGACAAAAAAATTCAACAGTTACTATAACAACAGTTTTCATCAAGTTTTTAATGTACTACAAAAGTTATAACTAAATTTAATAATTTTAAATGTCATTAACAAATTAATATTACGATTACTTCATAGTCATATTTCACAAAGAAATACATTTTAAAATAAATATATATATACCTTTCAAAGATTGGTTACCATCAATAGAATCACCCATCCTTTTGTTTCGGAGTTGATCCTATATAATTTAAAAATGTCGCAATAAATATAAATTTATTTGGAAAAATATAATTAGTTGCTTATTGCTTTTTGCAAAACTTTTAACTTGCATTAAACTTGTTCAACCTGGACTAAGTTGTTTAAACATTTGTCTATTATATAAACAAATTGTATATTACAATTACAAGCTGTAATTACAATTATATAAACAATATAAACAATTAGCATTATTGATACAAATCTCTTGTTGATTCTTTTCATTTAAATATACTTTTAGTATAAAATTTTAATTCAAACTCTAAAAACTAAACTAAAAACTAAAACAAAATAATTAAAAAATTATTTGTCATAACAAATGTAATTCTGGGAGACAAAAAGCATGACATTATCATTATGTTATGTTATGTATGAATGTATGTATGTATTTATATGTATATGTGTTTATATATATGTATGCTGTATGTATGTATATATGTATGTAATTATATATGTATGTATTTATATATGTATGTATGTATTTGTACTCATATACACATGTGGAAATTCAGAACATGTATGTATGTGTGTATGCATATATGTATGTATGTATGTATGTATGTATGTATGTATGTATGTATGTATGTATGTATGTATGTATGTATGTATGTATGTATGTATGTATTTATGTATGTATGTATGTAAACATATATAATAATGACTAAAAACTTACAGTACTGGTCATTTCCAAGACAGATATACTCATTAAAGATGAAGAAGAGATTTGGTGTCTTGAATTCTGGTTAAAATACAAATTATTTAGAGATAATACAAATAATTATAAAACTAAATAATAAAATAAAATTACCTGAGTTGGTAATTTTTTATGCAGATTTGAACGCTCTTCCGTTGAGTATGAACTCTGGTTGTCTAGAAAAGATTGAGATTTTCTATTCATAGATGACAGCGGATACTCAAATGGTCTAACATGGTTAGAACTTAATGATTGAGGATTTAAAGAGTTTTTGAATGATGAATCTTTGGGGTGATTGAATGGTGGTGGATCGATAGAATTTATGAATGGTTCAAGATGCTCCATGTTATGTTCAGATAAAAATTTTTTAAAATTCGATTTATGAAAAGGGTCATTAAAGTCTATTGGGGGAGATGCAAAAGAAACTTCTTCAGAAATCAAGGATGAATTTGACGGAGACTCACTAGAAAGTAAAAACTGTTTTTTATCCATATTAGAGTGAACTGTTGAACTGTTTTTCATTTTTGATTCATTGAGATTTGAAACCACATTTTTTGAAAAATCTTTCTTAAAAGAAAACAAATCTTTAGAATATGACAATTTTGTGGCTTTAGCAATTGGAGTTTTTTCAATTTGAGTTACTGAAGGTAAGCAATTACTTTCAATTCCTGGAGGCAAATATAATTTGTCTTCAGTTCCTGGAGGAAAACAGTCATCCTTTATAGATCCTGGAGGTAAACAATACTCATTTTCAGTTCCTGGAGGCAAAAGTATTTCGTCTTCAGTTCCCGGAGGAAAACAGCCATCATTTTTAGATCCTGGAGGTAAACAATACTCATTTTCAGTTCCTAGAGGCAAAAGTATTTCATCTTCAGTTCCTGGAGGAAAACAGTCATCTTTTTTAGATCCTGGAGGTAAATAATAATCATTTTCTGTTCCTGGAGGCAAAAGTATTTCGTCTTGAGTTCCTGGAGGAAAACAGTCATCTTCTTTAGTTCCATGAGATAAACAGTATTCATTTTCAACTTCATTGGAAATACATACTTCATCTTCAGTTCCTGGAGGACAACAGTTATCGCCTTCAGTTTGTGGTTGAATGTTCATATATTTAGAACTTGTATATTTATTTTTAGAGAATAAACATTTTTTGGTATCTTTTTGGTATTGGGAAAAACCAGTTTTTGAGGGTTTATCACTATCACTCTTAATAGCTAAGGATTTAATGATTAATATTTGTTTTTGTTCAGTATTAAGTGTTTTCGTTTTTGAGGAAAAACTATTTTGAGGTAACAGATGATTTTTTACTGACTTTGACACTACTTTATGATTTGTTGATAAAACTTCACTTTCTTGACAATCTTCAGACGATTCTTCTTCTGCAGAAGATTCTGCAGAATCTAAGAGATATTTGAGTTTTGAATTGATTTCAGTGTTATACTCTCCATCAATGCACAATTCATCACCTGATAAATCAAATGATTTGGCGACTGGACTTTTTTGGTCCTTTTCAGTACCCAGAAAAACTTCTAAGTTGTTTTTTTTATTTGTTTGAACATTTTTTTCTTGAAAACAAAACGACTTTAATTTAGGTGAACTGTTCAATGTTTCTGTTTTGTTATTATCTTGTTCATTTTTTATTTTTTTTACATATTCATGTTTAGTTTTTTTATTTTCAGTTGATGAAGTATTTGGTACACTAGAAGTACTTGTTTCAACTGATATTGGTTTTATTTCATTTGACATCGGTCCTGTTGTAGCTAGTGCTGAACTTGCTTTAACTGATATTGGATTTACTGCTAACGCTTGATTTGCTACAGCTGATGTCGGATTTATTATAGCCCATGTTGGATTGATTACAGTTGATGTTGGATTTATTATAGCCCATGTTGGATTTGTTACAGCTGATGTTGGATTTGTCACAGCTGATGTCAGATTTATTATAGCATATGTTGAATTTGTTACAACTGATGTTTGCTTTGTTGAAACTGATGTTAGATTAGTTACAAATGATGTTGGATTACTAAAAGCTGACATTGAATTTTTAGCTGATGATATTGGATGCCTTACAACTGATTTTGAATTTTCTATTACAGATTTTGGATTTCTTACAAATGCATGATTAGTTACAGTTGATATCAAATTTATTTCAGATGATGTGCACCTTGTAAGAAATGAATTTGAATTTGTTTGAGATTTAGATGTTCGATTAGTTATGTTTTGAGTTGAAGGTATTAAAGCTGATGTGCAATTCACTTTGTTGCTGTTAGAGTAAGTTAAAGAATTGTTCACATCAGAGACTCTAAATTTGTTTTCAAACTTCAATACACTATTGTGAGAAATAGTTCGAGCTACTGTTGTCGACTCCAGGGGCATGGACTCCAGTCTTGAATGCCTTAATTTTGATGCAGAAGAAGTTTTTATTAAATCATTAAGTAAGTCTATACCATCTGACTTTTCTTTACAACCAAATTTTAAGACATTATTGTTAGTTGCTATTTGGTGAATGCTGGAGCTTGTTTGCGGACGTCTATAAGTTCTTGTTACATTATTTAAATTTAAAGAAAGTTTTGCATCATTGATTTCATGAGACTGAAATTGCTCTGTGACACTGATAGTTTTATGTTGACTTGTAATATGCTTTTTCGTCTGAAAGATCTCTTTTGGGTTTGAAACAATATCCTTTTTCTTTTGAGTTTGTTTTTTATTTTTTATTGGGTTTTCATCTTTCTTTGCGCACGAGCAGTACAAATAAACATGTTTCTCCTGCTCTATTGGGAAAACAATTCTTGTAAATGGCTTCTTTAAAAGATCTGCAAGTCCAACAAATGCCATTTTTAGAAATTTTTATTTTTTCTAATATTTTCTTTTTCTTTTTATCTACTAAAATATAAAAAAAGCATAAAATTTTTTTTTATGAAACTTTTAAAAAAGATTTGAGCACAACTCATACTTTGGTAAGAGAAGAAAGGGAATGAACCATTATTTAGATTTCTTTTACCATGTCATATCTACTAGCTAATTTTTACTAATTTATTTTTAACAAATATCATCCCTATGCATCTATGCAGCATACCTCAATATCCACCCAATGCAGACATTTTTCTTAAATAGACAAAACACTGGCTTTGGGAGCAAGATATACTAAATCAATAGGGCAGTTCAGCTTCTGTAGACAAAAAATTCAACCAATTACAGAGCACTTTGATATTTATGTTCCTTTTGACCAAAAAAAAAAACTATGAATTATTATTGAAATCAGAAAATATTTAGAACTGCCTCATGGAACCTAAAGTTTGCAGATTTTTCATTTTCGGACTTGATTTTAAAAATATTTACTTTTGTACCTAATTCCAAGAGCAAATCAGTAATTACAATGATTACCTGCAAAGTAATTAGTATTTATTTACTTACTTACTTATTAGTTACCATAGATCATAGATCACAATTAAAAACAAAACAAACAAAATGGTGGAATGCAGACAGCAATGTTAAAACAAATTTAAAATAAATGAAATAATGCATAACATTTTTTATTTACTTACTTATAGTTACCAATGATTAGATTAGAGAACTAATGTAAATAAAGTGGTGGTTGTCAGACAGCAGTAATGGTTGAAACAAGATCAAAAACTTACATTTATTTGATTAGGGAATCAGAAAAACATTTTAGTGGCAGAGTTTTGCCTACAAGTTTGAAGGTTTTAAGAAAATATTTTTTTTCCATCATAAAAAAAAACAACAGTCAAACTCTAAAAGATGCCATAAAAACTGTAGTCCAATAGTTGTGTGAGATCTGGGCCAAAGCTAGAATTCCAACTGTATAACATAGAAGTATTGTTCGTAAAACAAAGCTTTATTGGAAAGATACAGAAACACTTCAAAAAACAAGAGTCGCGGTGAAGAGGGTGGCCCAGCACAGCAGGTAAAAGAAGATTTTTTAAATCAGTAATTGTTGTTTTGATATTGCTCACCACGATGCATTGAATAAAAATAGAAGACCAAATATTTCTTGTAGACCAAGGTTCGAAAGAAAATATGACATGGGAGATGTAGAACTTTGGCAAAAAAAGAAAGAAAAGAATCAAGAATGCAAAAGGAAATTCAACTTGGTATCAAAGAAGAGAGAAAACAAAAATCCAAAGAATGTCTGGAAATTGAAAAAGAATTATTGTCATTGTCATCATCAGATAGTTCAATCAAAGCAGACAACGGTATATTTAGCGATGAAGACTATATGGTTCAACAACATAACAATTTTGTTGAGGAATATTGTCAGGAGAAATCTCCATCAATTTTTAAATGTACCTTTGCACATTTAAAAATTGATGGAGATTTCTCCTGACAATATTCCTCAACAAAATTGTTATGTTGTTGAACCATATAGTCTTCATCGCTAAATATCCTTTTTAGATGTTATTCCTTCAGCATTTGCATCTGTACTTGATCGTACAAATGGAAGTAGTAAATGACCAGGGTTGATATTTGACTGGGGCCGGGGCCAGGTTTGATAAAATATAGCCAGGGCCGGGTTTGTGACCAGGGCTGCATAAACTTTTATTCATCCTAAACGTATAATTTTTTTATTCAAAATTTATTTTATATTTTGTATATATATGCATTGATAAACATTATTATAATCAAAATGATCATCATAATGGGCATTACCATCACCGTCATCATCATCATCATCATCATCATCATCATCATCATCATCATCATCATCATCATCATCATCATCATCATCATCATCATCATCATCATCATCATCATCATCATCTTTTGGCAAATACTACACCATATAAATACTAAAGTTTATATAAATATGAAAAGATATTGTATGCCAGCTCCTAAATAAATAGCAAACATATATGTTTATATCCATAATATTTATGCTTAAAGCGCATCTCAGAAGCTTTTATTCCTTCTGGACTAAAAGTTTGGAAGCTTTTATTCCTACTCTTTAAGTCAAACCTCATTCTACTCCATATTTTTTTTACTATCCTGAGTAGTTGCTTTATTAATCATTTATTTCATCTTTTTTACAAGAACATCTCTTTTAAGAACCAATATTCTTTTATCATACCAAGAAGTAAATGTAAAAAGGTCCTGCCTGATATTAAGTTCTGTTACTCTCAGTTTACTAAATCTTGTATCTTATCTAAGATGTTAGATTCAAGAGACTTTTGGTTAATCTTCAATCATTATATAATATTTAATAATTATTATTTTTAAAAAGTGCTAAATAAATGGTTCTAATTTTTCAAAACTCTAGAATCACTTTGACCTAACTATCCTAGAATTAGTCTTTACTCTGTTATTAGTTTCTTTATATAAAGGTTTTGAGATTATTAAATTATTTCTTACTAACTGCAGTAATAACTTTAAGGGTACCACAAAGTATCTTGCGGTGCCTTTAAATCTTTGCTCCTGTATTGTTTCTTATCTACAATATCAATCTTCATGAAAATTTAACATCTAAAGTGGCTCTATTTGTTGACAATTTAACTTTATATTCGTCTTGACAAAAATCTTTATTTCTTGATTGCTTAGAACAAGCAGCTGCTTTTTAATCTGATCTCTCTTCTGTAACAGCCTCTCTTCTGTAACAGCCTCTCTTCTGTAACAGCCTAAGGCTTGCTGTGGTTTATGAATTTAAATTCTGGACTTTAAATTTTTGTTTGACAACGAAACTCATTCATTTACTGCAAATAAATATTGCAATAATGTTGGTATTGATGAACAACAACCTTCTTACTCTCAGACAAAGTCTAAAAGCACATTGTAAATGTAATGCGGTCGTGGTGTAGTGGTAGAGCACTTGCGTCATAAGCTAGAGGTACCAAGTTCGATCCCCACCACGTCCCTGGTAGTACTCCGCTCAACTTGTTTCTCTGCGCAGCAGCCTTGGTTGTCAAAGTTCATGTTTTGGAGTTATATAGTTAAGAGAGAATTATAACCACAATTAAGTAGCCTCCTCGTCTGTAGTAGCGTTTTCAGCCTTGGTTTGGTGAATTAACTTAAAAAAACAAAATAATAATAAATTAGACCTGCTTTAAGGTTGCATTTCTTTCTTTTTTCTACAAATACAATCAAGGTCAATGCTCAAACAAGCTATTATCTCTATTACGATAAACCAAAACTCATTCTTGATTCTTTCTTATTCAAAGAATTGCATCCTTTTGCTGTATCTGTCCTTTCATGCTATAAAAGCTTTTATTAATCCAGTTTATTTCCTTGCACTTCAAGAAAAACTATATAACTATTAGCCATCTTCATGTTTTTTCATTTATGTACAACCCAGGCTTGGACAGGAATGACGTGCGATCGAGCGCTATTGCTGACTACGCAAATGGATTTTATTTTTTGACAACTTGACCAAGATTGTTTATATGTTTTGATGATTTAAACATTTCAGAAATACGCTGAATGTAGGAACGCTAAACTTAAAAAAACTAAATTCCTAATGAAAAAATAAACGAAAAAAAATTCTTTATGAAAAAGAAATTATATAAGCACTAAAATAAAAATAAAAAATAAAAAATTAAACTCCAAGCAAAACTTTTTGTTACATTTTTAATTACGTTGGAAATAAATCTTTTTAAACGTTTTATGAAAGTTACGCAAAACGCTTTTAAATTAAGTAACAAATTACTACTAATGATTAGAAATGGCAATCCCGGGATTCCGAAATCCCGGGATTTAGTACAAATTGTTCATCCCAAAATTCCAGGATTAGTCTCCAAAATTTCCCAGGATTTCGGAATCGTCAAAAAAAAGTAAAAGTTAATATAGTTTAAGCTTATAATTGTAATTAAGTAATTTATATATCGTCTTTGGTATAGTAGTTTGTTTGGTTATGTAACTGTTTATTCTCTTTGAAATGTTTTCCTTTTAAAACTCTCTTTTTCTGTATTTTATTTAAAATAAAAACTCAAAACATTATTGCTTGTCTACAAAATATGTACGATCAAACATATAAAATATAACATTATATTTTCTCTCTCTCTATATATATATTTATATATATATATATATATATATATATATATATATATATATATATATATATATATATATATATATATATATATATATATATATATATATATATATATATACATATATATATATATATATATATATATATATATATATATATATATATACACACACACACACACATATGTATAGTATAATATTAAAACTAGTATATTATAAAAAATAAAATTTTAGCGCTTACTGGTGGAAAGAGCAAGTGTTTATAATAAAAGTTTTTATTAGAAGGTATACCTTCTAATAAAGTTTTTATATTAAACTAATTTTAGCAGAAAAAAGCTTTAATAGAAGGTATACCTCAGGCACATAGCAACCGGGTGCACAGCAGAGGCACTTGCCCCCTCCTCCAATATTTTTTTAAATAAATAACTTTGAAGAAATTGATTGAAAAAAAACCTTCTATCAAAGTTATTTTAATTTTTATTTCCATTTTTATTTCCATCAATTTTAATTTCAAATATGTGCGTGATTTACAAAAGCTTTTTTTAAGTCAGTTTAATTAACAAAGTTAACAAAAAACAGTTTTATTAAATTACAAAATTTTCTTAGCGCCTGTTTAATTAATGAAGTCATGCATATTTATATATTTTTATAAATAGTAATTTTTAATAATTTCATGCTCTAATTAATAAGTCTAGTTAAAAAAAAGGTTTCCAACTCTTTTATTCGTAAAAATAGAAAGAAAAAAAATTAAATAAAATGCAAGCGCATTTAAATAAAATAAACTGCCAACAAGCAATTTAATTTAATTTTAATTTGACCATTACAACTTTATTACTAAACGCTTCACGTAAAGTTACTTCACGTTACATAAAGTCATCGTAAGTTTAATATAAAAATATAATATAATAAAAATAATAACATAAAAATTAATCCTATGAACATTACAAAATACTTCAAAACTTTTTCATTAATCAACAAAATACATGCTTATATAAGTAAATAAAGTTATTTTATATTCTTGTATAATTCACATAAAATGTGTAAAAGCTAGTAGTCTCAAAAGTTTTTGAAGTAGTTGCAAATAGTTTTGAACTAATTCATAAATTATAATAACTTAAAAAAAATCTTTTTAATATTAATGCTTTAGAAGATTTTTAGTTTTTGCTTTTAATGCTTTATTTTTAGACATGGGAAAATAGTTTCGAACGTTTAAATTTATCATGAAAAATACATGCCTAAATAAAAAAAAATTAAATATAACATTTTATATTAATTTACACACGCGTCTATGTAAACAATCATTAAAATAATAAATATAATGGTTTTATTTTAAAGATTTCGCTTAAAATAAAAACTTTAGGAAACATCAACGATTAAAAGTTATTAATAATGTTTTATTGCATTTAAAATGTTGAAATATCAAAATAGCTGTGGTCAAGTTGTAAAGAAAAAAAACTATTATCATGGTCAGTTACAGAATGCGATCGCACACCATTCCTGCTCAAGCATGACAACCTACAACTTTTCAAGTCTTCAGTTAACCATTTCCAAGTATTTTTATTTATTCTCTATTTTAAAATTCATAACTTAATAGTGGTTGCTTGCAATCTTGTTGGAAGTAAATTAGAGTTTGAAAATACATAAATTTATGCCAGTATTTAATAAATAGTAAATTTAAGCATAAAATTATAATATATAAAGTATTATAAATTTTTTTCTAGCCCCGGCTAACAACCTCTGCTAAATCTTATAGTTTAGCTGGGGCCAGGGCCGGGTTTAAAAAAAGTCTCATTTTTAACTGGAGCCGGGGCCCTGGTCACTTACTAAATACAAGTGACAGAAAAGCAATATACATCTTAACAGCAGCCATCCAAATGTATGGTGACTGTTATATATTAAAACTACCAATATCTCGTAGTAGCATTAGAAGAAGCCAAATGAAGCATCGTTTTCAACATTATGCTAACATTAAGGCAGCCTTTAAGTTCAGAGGGATCTTTGGTTATTCATATTGATGGAAAACTTTTGCCAGCAATTTCAGGTGGGCCCAAAAAAGTTGATCATCAGGCAATTCTAGTTTCAGGATAAAAAACAGAAAATTTTTTGGCCATTCCTAAAGTGGCACAAGGGACTGGTGAGCTCATAGCAAATGCAACAATGGTTGCCATTTCTGATTGGAAATTGCAGAATCAAAGAGTTGCAATTTCTTTTGACAATACGGCATCAAAAACAGGTTGACTAAATGGTGCATACACAATTTTAGAAAGAAAACCTGAAAAAAATCTGCTCTGGTTGGCATTTCATAATCATGTGTATGAAGTTCTGTGTAGAGATGTCTTCAAAGCAGTTTTCGATCCATCCTCTGGTTAAAATGTGTAGTTGTTTTGTCAATATCAGGAATATTGGCCAAACATAGACCAAGAAACATATACAGCTTGCGCCGTTCATCGTTTAAATGAAGAACATAAAGAATTGAAGAGAGAGGTAGCTAATTTTATTTTAGGAGTGTTAAATGGAAAGGCAGGAAATTTACCCAGAGAAGATTATAGTGAACTTTTGGAACTTACTTTGATCTTTCTTGAAAATATTCCACCTCAAGGCATACAGTTCCAGGTTTTCACCACGCAAGGTGGATGTCTAAAATAATTTGTTTTAAAGATTTTCTTATTTCATACTCAATTTAAGCTCACCAAACGTGAAAATTCAGTGTGCTTGGAATTTGGTTTGTTTGTTGCTTTTATCTATGTAAAAGCATGGATAACCTGCTCATACTCATGCGATGCTCCATTCAAAAAAGTATTAACAAAGTACAGTTCAACAATAAAAGTTCAACAACTGCGTTGAAAGCAGTGGGTCGCCATTTATGGTATTATGGAAAAACTAACACCACTTGGTCTGTTTTCTGATCTGGTACCTGTTATGATGAAAAATTTATGGTAGCAAAATTGCAAGATCAGATTGCAGACAATCAAGAACTCGATTGTAATTCAATCCAATACACTCAAACTGAAGATCTGAGTACAAAACCAATGGAGTTTTTGCTGCCTCAGAGTTAGACATGCTCTTTCTGAAGGAGGATGTTACAAAGTGGTCAGATATTTCAAATTATCAGGCCACAAAGAAAACTGTTAAGACACAAAAGTTGTCAATGATAGTGCAGAAAGAGGAATTATTCTAGCCACTGCATTTAATTCTACAATAACAAAACAAGAAGAGCAAAAACAATATTTGTTTCAAATGGTGGAAAGTAACTGACAATCCAAAGTTACTTTCAGATGTTGGTGGTAACTTAACAGTTAACTGAAAACATGGAACAAACAGTGAACAATGAAAACTGAACAGTATAAAAATTGTTGCATATATTTTATTTACAACAATATAAAAATTATATATTTTAATATATTTTAATTACAACAATATAAAAATTGTTGCATATATTTTATGTTGATAAAATTTTTTTAATTTTTTGGAATATTCTTAAAAATTGTTTAAAATGCTGAAATTTCAATGTCGATGACGCAGTTCCAAGTATTGTCAGATGTTCTTCAAATTTTTGTAGTGTATTTACAAAGAAAAAGGAACATAAATCATCCCAGGTAGTAACACGCTCAAACTATTATTCCACTTAGTAGTCCTGTTTTTCAGGTTGGAGTTATTGAGTTAAGAAAGGATTGGTTTCAGGGTTGTAACAACAATTTGAAATAAAAAAAGAATAATTGAAATAAAAAAAGAATATTTAGACAGGTTAAAAAAATTAAATAATTATTCTTATTAATTTAAATTTGGTATTAATCATTTAGACAGGTTAAAAAAATTTAAAAAAATATTCTTATTAATTTAAATTTTTCGATTTGTTTTAAATCTGATAATATTATACATGTATGCTCAACAAAAAATATTATGCATAAATATACACAACAAAGAATATACAAAGTTACCATAGATACCATTAACAATAAAACAAGCTTTATAAAATAAAAATAAAAATAAATAATTTATATAACCAAACAAATAAAGTAAAAATAAACCTTTATTTAAAAAAAAAATAATAATCTATGGTTTAACACCAGTTTATAAAGATAAAAGTTGATAACAAGTAACAGATAACATAGATAATATTTTGCTGATAACAAGATAATAATTTAAAGAGAAAATTTTTTGTTTTGTTTTTATGTTTACTTTTAAATTGAACTAATCCATAATATCAATTTTTGATAATATCATAATCTCCATTATATTTGCAGCATTATAACCATTCAAATAGTATTTTCATTATATCCATCGTAATATTATCATTCTTTGCACAATGTATCACTAATACTTATTTTTGCGCACTTCCAAATTGCAGACAGAAGTCGTGTGAAACCAGTATCTTTTGGCTGCAAAAAAATTTTTATTTTATAAAAATATTTAAAACATATTTATAACATTTAAAAATATTTGTAATTTATTTTGAGTATATATTTATTAACTTCAAATACTTATTAAACTCATAATATTTGTTTCAAATTATATCTATGTGGCTTTAATGTAAAAAATCAGCTGAGGCTTTGAGGTTAATGCATTTTAAAAATAAATGTGTGAAAATATACTACATGCCAACCTAAACCCTCAACTTATATTTATATTTTTATAAAGATTCAACAGGAGCAAATAGGTGCATGAACCATGTATAGCCCATCTAAAATAAACTTGGCAAGCTATGCGGGACAATTTTTTAGCAATAAACAAATAAACAGCATTTTAAAATTTTTTTTAAAAGATTTTTTATATTTATTAATTTATATTTTATATAAATTATATTTAGAAATTTAGTTGTAAATAACTAAATAAATAATAATATAACAATCTTATAAACTTTAACAAAAAAGCAATGTAAAAAACTGTTATATATTGTCATTTTACAAAAATGATCAATCTTACTTCTATATTATCATAAAAGTTCATTTATTTCTCTTCTTTTCTGTGAATTATTATCATTACTACTATAATTATTATAATTATAGTTATAATAATAATAATAATAATAATAATAATAATAATAATAATAATAATAATAATAATAATAATAATAATAATAATAATTATTATTATTATTATTATTATACTATTATAAAAATGATTTATGGAAAATAAATAGCATACATTTTTATATTTAAAAATTTCATCAAAAATAAAAAATTTGGAAATTTTCTTTTGAATTTAGATTTTTTAAATTTTTCAGATTTTGAAGTGGTAATCAAAACCAATTACCAACAGCTCTGACTTTAACTGAACCAAAAAACAGTAAAAAATCTTTTGCTGCTATTAGAGGTCTTTCAAATTAATTTCATAGATGATAGAGAACTATGATCCTGATTTGTGTTTAAATGACATGACTTTTGTAAGTCATGTCATTTAAACACAAATCTTATGCTTTGTTTACCATTAGCACATTTTTTTAAATGCAACTATTTGCCATACAAACAAGTGAGACAGTAGTGGTTTAGTGCACTGCATCACACTTAGTGCAATGTGTATGTCACATGCATATAATGTTCTACTGACCAAGGTGTACAAGTTGCATTTCTGTATTAAAATTTACTATATCTACATTTGTCTTGAGCATTTTTGTTTTCTTATTTTTCTTTTAGTCAATCATTTCATTAGGAAGCATATAGAGATACAATGGCGCAAGTCTGATATTAAAGTCATTGTATAAGATACTAATAGTGCTATTGTCTCTTTACCCTCTCCTTCTTTTCTTTAACAGAGAGATTTTTTTTCCATATAGTAACTTAATAATCTTTAGATTATTTACCTTTTTGAAAAATCTCTAAATGTCCTTACTATTTTAAATCTGTTCTTAAGATCACCTAGCAAATGTTAACTAGATCACCTGTCTACCCAACTAGAGAGCCCCAGTGGTCATTTGTATACAACTATTGTGGCACAAACAAAAATATAAAAAAATATACAATAAAATTTTTTTAAAAACAATATTTTAAAAATGAACTAAAAAGTAAAAAATAACTATTTTACGCAACCCAAGGACTTGGTGTGCGTACTAAAAAGTAAAAATAAACTATTTTACGGAATCCAAGGACTTTGTGTACATACACAACCTGAAATATCAATAAAAATATAACCCTGAAACATTTTTAAAAATTCAAATTTTTAAAAATCTTTTTAGTCCATTTTTAAATAATGTTTTTAAAAAGTTTTTTTATATACTTTTTTTTTATTATTCAACAGTGATTCTGTTTATTTATGCTAAACTAAAACGCTAAACCAAAATGTTAAACTAAAACGCTAAAAGTTTGTTGTTTATTGTTTGTTTTAATTACTTTTTCTAACAATTTCTTTTATTTGCACTAAAATAGTCTGTTTTGCATTGTTTGTTTTAATTACGATTTCTTTTATTATTACTGCTGACCTCGTGTTTGTTTTGTGTGGACACCAAAAAAAAAAATTAAACAAATGGACAAGAAAGCAAGTGAAATAAAATGTTGTAAAAAAGTTATTTATCATTTAAAATCAATTATTATTTTTTGAAACAAAAGTATCAAACAAGATAGCAAAAAAAAAAAAAAACGCAAGACCTACTTTGTTAAGCCCTCTGAACATCTTATCTTTCATGACAGCCACAAATTCTTTGTTGCTTAAATGACCATCCTCTAAATTAAATAACCATTTCCTAAATTAAAATACTAAATGACCGTCCCCTAAAATTAAAAATCAAATGACCATCCCCTAAATTAAAAAGCCAAAATATACAAATATACAAAAATATAAATTATTAAAAAAAACACAGCACACACTCAAAAAAAAAAAGGCAGAAGTTTCTACCTTAGGGTAGAAAATGTGATATACCCTTAGTAAGGTATAATTTTATAGCTTCTGAAGTAGAAATATATATCAAAAATAATGATTTTTCATTCAACATTCTACCTTAAAAGTACAATTTTCTACTTTAGAAGTTAGAAAATTATATCTTACTAAGGGTATATCACATATTTTACCCTTACATATTTTAAGGTAGAGATTTCTGCCTTTTTTTTTTTAAGAGTGAATTTTAATAAAATTTTATATGAATGTCTTTACAAACTGATTATAAATACATTTTATTATGAATATATATTTAATTAATTATAGTTAACCTTAGTAATGCCAAAAGCTTTAAAATTCATTAAAGAATAATTTGTCAATTGGTTTGTATTTTATAAAAGATAACAATAGCAGATTTTAGATATAGGAAGTTTTAAAAACATCTATATTATATAAAGTACTAAAAATCAATTTAAATTAATAAAATTTTATCATTAAAATCTGACCATTTTCATCAAATATAGAGAAAACTACATCAACCAGATGATCGCGCAGATTTACACCTGCAACTGATTTTGCAACTTGCTTGAATGTTTCTAAATATCAAAAATAATTATGATTAAAAAAAAAAGAATTAGGAAATGTAATATAAGAAGTTTTAGGTATATACGCATACTTTGTACAAAAGGTGGGGGAAGAATACTAGGCAGCAAATTTACAAATAAAAACAGATGGAAAAAAAAAAAAAAAAAACAATAAAAAAAAAATAAAAAAAAGATACAAAACATAAAGCTTCAAAAACTAAAACCTTTATCAATTGTTTGACCAGAAACTGTGTGAAAACTTAATGCCATTTCTACATCTCTTAAATTCAGCAAAAACTGATAGAAATCAAGATAATCTTCAAACAATAGCCCCTCATTCTAAATCATGATATAAAATCATGTTATATAAAACCTTATTCTAAATTAAGAAATAAAACCATATTAATAATAAAAATTCATCAGAAAAAAAAAAAAATAAAGAAGAAAAAAAAAAGATAAAAAAAAACTCTCTTAATTCACATGCATCATTCGAAAATAATATCCTAACCTGAACCTCTCATAAATCTTTATATATATCTACTATATTCTAGGAATATATTATGTTTATTTTATATTATTAGTATATTTATGTTAATTATGTTAAGTCTATCACTTATAATAACCATTTACTAGTTGATAGTAAGTTGTAGATAGTTGGTAGTATTCTGTGGATACTAGTAATTGAAGCAGTTTTCAGATAGTTTGTAAATAGTAATAGTCTGCAAATTCTTTGTTAAAAGTACTCAATAGCAGTCTGCAGATTGTCAGTTGGTATTTGGAAAGTTGGTAGCCTATGATTAGTTGATAGCACTCAGGTAGTAGTAGTCTGTTGGTAGTTTCAAATGATAAAATTTGAGAGCATTTATGTAAAACAAACATAGGGCCAAGACAAAATTTGACCAAGAAATATAAAAAAAAATAACAAAAAAAAAAAAAAAAAAACTCAAATTGACCAATAATTAAACAGCTAAACTCATTATTGAACACAATAGAACATTATTTTTATCTAATGCTAAGTAATTGTTTATAGAGTTTTTGTAAGAAGAAATATGAACATCTATCTTTATGGAGATAGAACCATGTTTCACAGATAAATTGAAAAATACCTTTCCAGAACCTTCTCCGTACATTTTTTTAATTTTCTTTAGTATTTTAGAATGCTTAGCTTTATCAAAGTACGCATATGTAAGTAACATCTCAGTGAACTTGTTTTCCGAAATAACTCCATCTTTTGAACCAAACATCTGAAACTGAAATAATATCTTTACCATATAAACAACTGAATGACATAACTTCACAAATTAGAAAATTACAAAGGAGTCACCCATAAATTGCCATGCAATTTTTGACAGTTTTAGAAGCATTACCCCCCCTGCTCCCTCTAGTAACAAATTGTCACATTTTGCTCCCTCCTTCTTTCCTTTCATAAGTTATACAACAAATTTGTAACCATTCCAACCCCCTCCTAAAATTTTCTTTGTGGTTTTAAATACTATAATAATTTAACTTTCAATACATATACATTTTAATTAAAACTTAATATTAATTTTTGAACTCCTTTTATACAAAAGTTTATACTTTAACAGTGACTAAAGGGACAAATAATCTCAAAAGATATTTAACTTTTAATAAATACAGTGAATGCTCTATATAAGCAACTCATCTGAAACAATTTCAATAAAAAAGTTTTGTATTGGGAAAAGTTACTTAAAGAGAGAAAAAGGAACATAAAAATACTAACCATCTGGAAAATACTTTTACTTATACAGAACAGTTGTACTAAAAAAAATGCTTATAGAGAGGTTGCTTATATAGAGCGTTCATTGTATATGATTTTAATAATTTCATTAACAATAAGTTAGTGTAGTGTAGTGAACATCATTATCCATGCCAACACGAAGATGCAGGTTTAAATTGCAGTGCATCCATAACATGATAACATTCTATGTTGATTAACTATTTTTGTTGTTTAACAACCATTTTTATTTAATAATTATACTATTACTAATTTAGTTGTATATGATATATCGGCTATATAATTGACTGATAAACCTGTAGATGCAGCAGAGTCTACATTAAATCTACTAAAATTTAAATCAATTTTAAAAGTCAATTTTAAATCAATTTAAAATATCAATTCCAATTGATTATTCTCAGGAAATGCCTCGTTTATCCAATTTTGTTCAAAATTATTGACTCGTAAATTCATAATTTTTGGAGGTAACAAGACTGTGGCTTAAAATCCCAAATAAAAAGTTCAATTGTATATCATTATTTTATTTTAGGTTTACTGAAAAAAAATTGATTCATCTTTTGTGTCTTTATAGAAAAATTTAAATTTTGTAACGAAAGCAATTAAAATGTTTTTTAAAACATTTGAATATAACATCAAATAGTGTTATTTATTGACTAGTTTAGGATGTTTATAATCATAGGCCAAGAGAGGGCCGGGGGCCTCTGACCAACTATGTCCCCCCCCCCCAATCTCCCTGGATTTTTTTTTTAATTCTTTTTTTATGATATAATAATAAATAATTATTAAAATTCAATTTAAAAACATTTTTTCATTATTTACCTCATATTTCAAAGTAAGCACTCAAAACAAAGATCTTTTCACAATTTTAAAAATCATAAATTTTAAAACCAAAAATATTAAAATGTTTTTAACATTTTAACAATCAATATATTTATGGTATTATTTAGTAGATTAATACTAATTTAGTCATTAACATAATAAGGTGGACAGTGGGATTTATTTAAACCCCATCCTTCTCAGCCTTCCATCCAAGGATTTGAAAACAAGAAAGACAAATTCTAAATGCAAAATAGGTAAATAAAATTACAACAAAATTAATTTAAATGTATTTAATTCTTTTTTTTGTAACCAACTGTTTATATTCTCTAAATCTAAATCAGATGTGTTGTATGTACAATTTTATATTGTTGTGGGTGTAGAAATCAGGCATACAACTTCAGAATTGAGCAACCAACACTCATCATTTCTCATTGGCTAAAAGAAGTTTTTACCTGGTACATGTGGATGCATGAATCTGACTTTTATATCAAGCTCACTCATGGTGGCCACAAAATTTTAAAAGTTAAATTCCAAGACATTTCCAGGACATTCCAGGACATTTTGTTGCATTTTCCAGGACATTTTATATCTTATTAAATGAATATTATCAATTATCTTTACGTTATATTTTATTCATATTGATTGAATTATAGAATATTATTATTACTCTCTTATTTAAAATTAAATTCAAACAATTTATATAAAAAAAATTTTCACATAAAAAATTTAATATTACTTCAATATTATTAGTAATTTTTTAACTTGACTAAGAAAAAAAAAAAGTTCCAGGACATTTCAGGACATTTTTGAAAAAAATGTAATTTTCCAGGACATTTCAGGACATTCCAGGACACTTCCAAAATTAAGGACATTCCAGAACATTCCAGGACTGTGGCCACCATGTCACTTACATCTTCAGCAATCCCTAACCACTAAAATCCATCATAAAAACATGCAATTTAATCCATTTTTTTAATGTTTAATGAAATCTCTTTATTATGTTATCTCTTTATTATTTTTTTTTTACAAAAGTAATACATTAAATTAACATCTAAAATCTGCCCAGTAGCTATTTATTTTAGACTTTCTTGACATACTACTCTTTTAACAGGTATGTTGCATTGGTTACATTGATGTAACATACATTCTGCATTTTCAAGCGAACAAACAATCAATGCCATGAAATCTTAATAACTTTAATTCCACCTAATGGCATCAATGACAAATTTTGTATTTTGGTGTATTCCTACACATACATTATGAGTACCTGACGCATTAGTTAAAATAAACCATTTAGGTTTAACAGTACAAAACTTTGACAAACTGACTTTAAAGTTAGGGTAGTCTTTTTTAAATGCAACATGTAATTCATTAAGATTGAGTAGCAATAATCTTTTTAAAAAATGTTGGTTTTTCTTAACAATAGCATTTTTTTTTTCCTGGCATCATTCTTGAAAATTCATCACTTTGATATACTAAATTAACTGTTTTTGATGAAAGTGGGTTTCCAGTATTTTTTTTCAGGCAATGATAGAATTCCATGCTCATTTTTAACTTTTCTTGCAATTCAAATAAGATACTCAGACACTTCAAAGTAGCTTGATATCTTTCTACGTGTCCATGATTTTGGTGCGAGTGTTAACATTTGCACCTTATGGTGATAAGAGTCAGTCTCTGAATTTTTTTTTTTAATTTTATACATTAAAATGTCTAGATCATGGTCATTGTTAATGTTGTTGTTTGAAATGGGGCTTTTTATTTCTGTTGTCAAAGAGGTTTCTTTAATGTTATATGCTGCAGGCAATTTGCTGTGTTTTGAAAGACATGTTAGTTTGACTGGTGAAATTCCATGCAATTCTATAGTGGTATCTAACTTAATTTTTTTTCTCACTTTTTGATTCCCATTCCTAATTTGAATTTAAATCTCCATCTGTTTCTACTACTTTTTTGTAACATTTACTGCAGAATTTCCAACCTGGGGTTACATAAACATTATTTTGTTGCAAAAATTATTTCTTCTTGTTTTTCACAAGAAAGATCTTTGAATTGAACAAAACATTGTTTTCTAGAAAATCCACTTTTGTGGTCATCAATGTTAAGACTTTCTAATGTCACATTTCTCCATATTAAAAATGTTTATTATTTATAATATTACCTGCCAAAAAATACAAAAGCAAAAAAATTCACAATCATTCTTTAAGAAAATACAAGCAAGTAAAGTAAAACCTTTAAAAAGAACAAAACAAAACATTTGCTTGTTTTTGATATAATAAGAGGTAAGCATTCACCGATTTAATGAAAAAAAAATTGTTTTTTAAACTAAAAAAAAATTATGTTTTTAAATTGAATTTTAATAGTTATTTATTATTATATCATTTAATGCATAAAAAAATATAATTAAAAAAAAAATTCAGGGAGATTAGGGAGGGGGGGGAGCAGAGTTGGTCAGAGGCCCCTTGGCCCTCCTTTGGCCTATGACTATAAACACCCTAAACTAGTAAATAAATAAAACTATTTGATGCTTTATTCAAATAAATGTTTTAAAAAAAAACATTTCAATTGCTTTCGTTACAAAATTTAAATTTTTCTATAAAGACAATTTTTAAACGCAAATTTTGATCAAGTATTAGACAATTGATGAATCTAATTTTTTTCAGTAGACCTAAGATAAAATAATGATATACAATTAAACTTTTTATTCGGGATTTTGGGCAACAGTCTTTATTTTAACTCCAAAAATCATGAATTTACAAGTCAATATTATGAACAAAATTGGATAAATGAGGCATTTCCTGAGAATATAGAGTCTTGAGGGTGCTCTTTTTGGATTCCGCAAATAAAAACCTAATTGGGTACCAAATTTTACGAAGTTTCCCCAAGCGATTATGAAGATACTTTATGTCAAAGTTGCTTTGTATTCGCTTCAGATAATCACTAAAATGCTGAGTCAGCATTATTTTAACTGACGACATCTCTGAAACCTATGTGTATTTTTAACTAAAATTTTTGCAGTTATACTTTGAATATGGAAAAGTGAGGTAAAATTAAACAAATTCTGAGACATAAGGGTGTCATGGATGATTTCATATAGAATGACCCTTTGGCTATGCACTATTTTAATGAAAAGAAAAGTTTTTCTTGATTTTAAACTAAAAAAATATATAGCATTACAAAATCCAATTCCTCCCTCTTCCTGTAACAAATTGTTACTCCAAATGGGACAAAATTGGGTAAAAAAAACAAGCAAATTAATGAGATTTAAAAAATCTGAATTATTACTAAAATCTGCATTAATTAACATTAATTGATATAATTAACATCATTTCTTAACATAAACTTAAGAAATTTTTGTATTAAATTTTTTCTAAAATGTTTTAAAAATTATAAAAATATACCTCCAACAGCATGACCTCTTTCTGTAGTTTCATTTTAAATTCAATAAACCTATCTACTGTTAATTTTTTAAGTCCATCTTTTCCAAAAAAATATGTTTTTAATTCGGAGCTAACATGGTTGTTAAGAATACTTCTTGTGGTTGCATGATCTCTATGTCGGCTTCCAGAAGTGCTCATGCTGAGAAACAATGAACGAACCTATATATATATATATATATATATATATATATATATATATATATATATATATATATATATATATATATATATATATATATATATATATATATATATATATATATATATATATATATATATATATATATATATATATATATATATAAATAAAAATTTTAATAAAGAAAAACCAAATAAAAAGCCTGAAACCATGGGCGCTAAACTTAATGTATATAAATATATATTGGAGTATTCCAGAAAAAATAAAGCCATTGAAATGTACAGCTGACCCTGAAAATTACCTGGGAATCCCACAAAAAATTGCTTATTTTGAAATAGCTAGATGATGAGTTAACAGTTAGTAGTAGGTACCTGAAAACATTCTTCAGCTAACAGGCCATAAACTACAAGCTATTCAAACATCAACAGATTTGTAGTCAAAGTCTACTTTCAAAAATGGCGTTTATGCAGAAAATCAATAAATGCACCCAGTAACAATATACAGTTGATCAACAGACTTAAGAACTTACACAGCTATAAGTAAGATTGGTTTGAAAATGATGATTCGATATTCATTGCATCCTTATTCACCCCAGTTCAGAAATACTGCTTTATTACTTCTTTCCTTAACTGAAGCTTCAGTTTAGGAAAAAAAATGCTTCAGAAAATAAAAGAACATCATAATTGAAGCTTTTGTACAATTTATTATTTGTAGAACTTCATTTTGCCTGGGCAATTTTAATCCTATTATAAGCTTAAAATATATTTTTTAAATTGCTACTGTAAAGTTTAAAATAATTTTTTATTCATTTCTGTTGATTTTAATGAGTATTTTTTAAAAAGGTGTTCTGATTTAGGAATCAAGGTATTCCAATTAAAGAAACCGGTTGCCTTAATTGGAACAAAATGGTGCCTTGTCAAAACCAAACTTATTTCTAAATAAAGTGAAATCAATTAAGTCAAATTATGATTAAAGTATAGGTTGTTCATTTGTCAAATCATAAATGCTTTCATATTAATCAAATCATAAATGTTTTCATAGTTGAACCATCTTTGGTTAAAAAATATTGATTAGGTGTTATAACTTCCAAAAGTCTCTCCAAACAAAGTTTTTATAAATACATAAGATATTGTATGCCAGCATGTAAATAAATAACAAACATATACGCTTATATCCATATTATATGCTAGTATTTAATAAATAGTAAATATATGCATAATTTTATATATATATATATATATATATATATATATATATATATATATATATATATATATATATATATATATATATATATATATATATATAATTTAATATAAACTTTTTCTAAAATTGAGGGATCAAAGTATACTACTAATTCTATATTAAAATACCATAAGTAGTTTAAGAATTTTTTAAGAGCTCAAAAACATCATTATCAATCTCTTTATAGTTTAACAAGTGTTGCAAGAGGTCAAAAGTGTTGCAATAGTTTACAAAGTGTTGTAAAGTGTTAGCTGTGAAGGCCACATACCCATTATTTAAGAACTTTAATGGTAATGCCACAAACTGTGGTAGATTTTACTGGAGTTATTTAGACACTAATGAGTTGCAACAGACTAAAAAGTTTCATGCTAAAAAAACAGGACATTATAATGACACAGCATCTATTTAAAGGTAATGAATTACATCATGTACTCTAGGTATTCACATTATAATAATACGCATATATGAGTGGTTATAGCAAAAAAGGTCTGACCACCCAATAATTATAGCAAAAAACCTGACTTTGTACTGAATAGTGTAAATGCACTGTGAAGTGCATTTACACTATTCAGTACAAAATAGAACTTATAAAACTTTTGCTTTTTTTCTTCTTCACAGCATTGAGTCAATAAGAGACCTAGAATATTCAGGCTTTTTTTTAATAACACAACCCTATCATTGTCTTTGCTCATACCTTCTAGTGAGGTTAGGTTCTTTTAGTGAACTTCTGGTTTCAATTTTGTGCAACTTTTGATAGACTTGAAATCTGGTGAATTACCCAGCCACAGGGAACGAATAATAACTAAATTTTGTTGGAGCTATGTTTTGAAAATTTTTGCCTGATGGCAATTTTCCCTGTTGTGCATGAAAATATCAAACTTTTTAAACTTAAAACCAACCAGACACATTGTTCTTCAAACTTTCTAAATAACTTGCAGAATTAACAACTGTCTCAACTGCCAGAAATAACAATCTTACCATAAAAGTTATAAAGTAGCACAACCATAAACAGTGATTATGCCCCAAATATAAGGTGTGTAGTATTGGGGATTCAATACTGACTTTGGTTAATGGTTAATGAATATTGACTTGGTATGGTGAAAACTGTTCAACTTGCGCTTTGTCTGAGAATATGATACATAGGTACATTTTAACTTGTATTCTTTTCAACATTTGAAGTGATTGGGAATATTTTTTTGAAAAAATTATGGCTTAGATGCACAATCAATGATGATTAATGCACAATCAGTGACGAATCAACCAGTGATGACAATCACTTACATCACAATCAGTGATGGTACAATCAAAAATTAAAGTCTTTAGCAACTTTTAACTGTGCAAATCATATTAGAAAGCAGTTGAGTAGAATGTCCTTCACAGTCGAACAGTGTATCCATCAGAATATTTGGAGTAGTAAATCTTTGCCTTCCTAAAGATTGTCCTGGATATATGTCATCTGTTGACTTGTTGTCTGAGGTATCTTATCACATTTTAGGTATCTGTGGTCTAGGGATCTTTAAAAGTGCAACAAACACTCATTCAGACTGATGAATTTTAATTAAAATGTTTATATATGGCAATTTTTAATAATTTTGAATGTATAGCAATATGCATGTATGATTAAATAAATTTTTTTTTATATTTTAGGAACATTTCACAGATTTAGAGCATGTTTGCAAACTGATTTCATAATCTTATTTCACCCATTCAGACTAGTTTGATACCAACTCCTAATACTTTTTTAGATTCAAGTGATAGTGATGTTCTTCATGCTCTATGTCCAGCACTTCGAATATTAATTTTGTTATTTTTTAATGTTTAAAGAGTTTTTACTAGTTGTTTTTTTTTTACAACAACTTTTTAGTTTTTATTTTTGTTTTTTTTAACTGTTTACATTTAAAACTAATAGCACTAATTTTAATTTCTGAATTTAATTCTATTTAGGATGTTTATAAATTACTTGATGAACACCAGAATGGTGTTCATAAATTACTTGATGAACACAGTTGAATTGTCATTGTTGAATATGAAACAACTGATATTAAAGCACAGATATGAAATGATTCATATTCTTGTAAGCATTATGGTGAACAAAGTTGGAAAAATGTAAAAGTCATTACATGTGATTTTAAATTATGTAAAAATCTAATCAAATATTTGCTTAAAAGATAAGATTGTAATTGTAAGATTACAGATATAAACTCCACAATTTAGGTAAGTGATGAATCTTTTTTATTGTAACTAACTGAACAACTTTTATATAAAACTCCAATCTTTTAGATAGAACATCTTTTAGGTAAAATGTTCTTTAATCATAAATGTTAATTTATATATATAACATAATAATGCAACTTTTAAACAAGAGAATAGCAATATGAAATAATATATCTATTTGTGAAAATTCAAAATATCATAATAGACTTTTTTTTAAATTTTTTTTTTAAATATTAACTTTAGGTATCTATCAAGAGCAAAAAAAAAAGAAATTTAAAAACTTTGGTGGAGTGTAGTTTAGGAAAAAATCTTTGTTATCTACATCTACGCAGTAAATCTTTGTTATCTACATCTACGCTGTAAATTGTAAATGTTTAAATTGCATTATCCTCAGATCAATTAAATATTTAGAAAAATTACTACAGCACATATAAGGAAGTTAAAGTAAATTGTAAAAAGTAGAAAACCACACCTCATATTCATATTGAGGAGCATTTAAAAACAATTCGCAGGTTTGATGGTGTCCATGTTAAAGTTACACAAAAATGGAAATAAGCTTCCCCAACAACACTTGATGCTGCAGGTAAGTATAACAAAAGTCATAAATAAGTTTTTTTAACAAAATTTGTTTCAAGTATTCTTTTTCAATTAAAGTATGAAACTTTATAAGTGAGTTATCGTTTGATGATTTTTAGTATGAGTGGAAACAATTTATTTTTGAAAAAACAAGAGCATCACAAAGTAACTGAATTTCGTCTTTAAAACAACTATTTTAAGAATTTATAAGGAAATTTCATCTGTTTAAAGACTTAAGTTTTGATGTAAGCAGCGCTGTATTTTACATATGTACTAATTTATCCTAAAAGATTACTGCTAGTATTAGATTACTACTTGCATAAAACTGATTTTTTTTATTTGAAAATGCTAAAGACCTGGTTACCTAATGGGAAGATATGACTCCTTATGTCATTACTTGGGCTCGGCAAAAGGCAAATTCGATGGCTAAACAATTGCTTTTAGAGCTTGACAGCCAGCTTATAATATCAAATGTTATGTCACATTATTTGCCAATTACTATAATAACTTGCATTTTATTACCTATTTACAACTATTTTCTTTTTCTCTGAAAAAATTTAATTAATAAGTTGATAAATGTTTTTTTTTTAATTAAAAATCAAAATATGGAATATGCATTGTGTTTGCTTCCTTCAAGAATTCTCCTAGAAACTGATCATCTACAGCTGAATTTGCTGAATTTATCTAAATTTTTTCTGTAAATGTTTTCCTATTTTGTTATTTTTAAAGTTGATTATTTCCAGCTTAATGATTTATGTTATAAACTAGGTCAATATTTACCCCTTGTTCTTTTTATATTGTATCTTTATTTTTATTTTACAAAGAATACTACAGCTATGGAGACATAATTGATGCAAATAGACATACTTCTTTCATACACCTGTATGTTATTTGGTCCAATAACATAAATAAAATCATTTATTTTCATAGAAGATAATGTGATTCCAATTAGAAATGGCATTTTAAATGTAGTAGGCCATCTTCTTAAATCATACTGTGTTATTGACATTGAATATCCACCAGAGTACCCGCATTTGTAGCATTTTTTACAAAAAATTGTCATGTGTATTCATGATGATTTATAACTGTCAAGAGGTGACAGTGATCTTTTATTATTTTGATGAAAAATATAAAGAGTGGATAAATTTTTCAATAAATTTCCTGTTAACAAATATTTTGCAATTTATATCCGATGGTTATTTCATAAGATTTAATGTTTTTTATTAGATAGATAAGTTGCTTAGTAGATTTTATAAACAAATTATAATTTTATTGCATGTGTGAAAAACGTGGTAACATTACTTGATACTTTAGTTTTTGTTTTGAGATTTACATTTATATCTATTCTTTAATTTTTATAAATAATTTAAAAAAATTTAATTTTTTAGTTTTATGAGCACTTCAGCATTTTCATTTGTCAAAACTATTACAAATATGTTTATTGAAATAAATATAAATACATTTTCAATTTTGCTTTTTCATTAGCATTTTGTTTTTGTAAAATTAAAAAAGTTAAATTAATTAAATACTTATTTTAATTTTCCTAAATCTTAAAAAAAGTTTTAAGTTCTCACACTTCTAAATCATTTATAAAGCAGAAAACAAATTTTTTTCTTTTTCAGAAAACAAATAAGTTTTTACTAAGTCTTCCACAATGTTTTTTCAATAAAGATTATTTTTTAACTAATAAGTTAAAAACGTAGTTCGGTAAACTAAATTGGTTAAAATCTAGTTTTAAAAATGCAAACAGTTGTTTACATTTACCAAACTAATTCAGGTTACTTAACACGCAAGTTCATATTTTTTTACTAAACTAGTTCAGGTAATGTTTCTTACTTGTTCAGGTTCTGGCAAATACAAAATGAATGTTCGTCTAGAGCCATTTGAAGTGAAATATTTCAGGTAAAGCGCCTGAAAATTCATATAATTTGCTGGAACCTTTTTAAGAGTTTATATATACATAAAAATTTATTTATTTTAAACATAATTCAGAGTTTCACTATAGTTAGCAATCATCAGATGTTACAAATCATAAAAATATCACAACGAAAAAATATATTAAAAATACTCTGGAGTGTTCTCTTTGATGGCATTAAAGTTATGTACTCATTTTCATGACAACACTTAGATGATCATTTTGCTTGGTGACAAAATTATGTAATATTTCTTGATCAAGCATAAATTGCACAATTTACAACCAGGTTTAAACGGTTCAACTTGGTTTAAAATTTTTCACAAAGGAAAAGGATTTTATCCCTACTTTTTAATATCTCACACAAATTTAGAAAACTCTTTAAATGTTTTTTCTATAAGTCCAATATAATAAATATCTTCATCTTGTGGGCTTGTTTTAACATTGCATATACAAATAAAATTTTCTATTAAATAAACATTTTCTATTAAGAGGGCATAAATCAATCTTTTTGCTATTACACAATTAAGGTTGGAAATTTTGCTGTTGGGTGAATAACGATATTTGGAAGACAGCTACAGCTAATTTTAGGTTTTTTCTGTTAAGCAGTTTATTGAATTTATAATTTTTCGATTTTTGCTTTTATCAACTAAACTAAGGATAGGTTTGACTATGTTTGTCTTGACATTGAAAACAGAGGGTTAAACCAAAATAATGTTTCGTGTTCAGGATTTTGTAACTTTTATAGAATTGTTGGGAAAAACAGTAGCGCTTTGGACGATTTTTCAAATTTTGTAAGTTTTGAGTAAAATTAGTACCCGGATCCTGTAAGTTTGATTTATTAAATATATTTAAGATATATCTATTTTTTCATTATCCTTAACTACTTTTAAAAGCAATTAAATAATTAACTGACCTTTTCAAACTCATCTTCTGTTACATCTCCATCTCCATTTAGATCAAACATTTTGAAGGCAAGTTCAATAATTCTGGAAGAAGCTTAAAATGAAACATAAATAACATAAAATTAAATTTTATAACATTTACCAAATACATACATAAAACCCTCAGAATCAGAAAAAATGATCTCAAACTTAAATCGACCTCAAACTGTTAGTGGTTGGAATACATTTGGCAAAAAAAAAAAATGACACATAGGTCGGCAGTTAGGTTAGGTTGATAGTTAGCCCTAATTCTATATATAATATAATAATAATTTTAAATAATTATATTATGAGTTTTATACTTTGATTTTATTCCATTATGCCTAAAATAATGAAACTCCATAAATGTAAAAATATAATATTCCATATTAAAGTAATAAAAAAAAAAACAGTAAAATAACTAAGGTCTAGAGTTTACAGTACTAATACACTAAGGTCTAGAATTTATCAAAATCCCCTTAAATTCAAAATCATAACTTTTACTCTTAGGTATTTTGTCTAAACAATGATTAGCCTTTATATATGTATTATATATAAATATATACAAATATATATATATGTGTATATATATATATATATATATATATACATATATATATATATACATACATATATATATATATATATATATATATATATATATATATATATATATATATATATATATATATATATACATATATACATATATACATATATGTATATATATATATATATATATATATATATATATATATATATATATATATATATATATATATATATATATATGTATATATATATATGTATATATATATATATATATATATATATATATATATATATATATATATATATATATTTATATATATATATATATGTATATATATATATATATATATATATATTTGTATATATTTATATATAATACATATATAAAGGCTAATCATTGTTTAGACAAAATACCTAAGAGTAAAAGTTATGATTTTGAATTTAAAGGGATTTCGATAAATTCTAGACCTTAGTGTATTTGTACTGTAAATTCTAGACCTTAGTTATTTTACTGTTTTTTTTTTATTACTTTAATATGGAATATTATATTTTTACATTTATGGAATTTCATTATTTTAGGCATAATGGAATAAAATCAAAGTATAAAACTCATAATATAATTATTTAAAATTATTATTATATTATAGTTATTTAAATTCATAATATAATTAATCCAAGGTCATTTTAGTTAAATTTCAAAATTATGAAACATTTATATTACTACAATAATTTTTATGTGTACTTAAAAAACCATTTAAATAAACAAAAAAAGACCCCTTAAAACAACAAACAAAAAGTTAAAAGTTACTTGATAAAATAAGTTGACAATTTGAAAACAATGTACACATTAATGTTTTTTGTTATTTTTATTGATGGTATTATGAAAAAATTTGAAAACAAAGTTGATGTTATTTATTATGTTAAAAAATGACTTTTTAAACTAAATTTCTTGAAAAATTAATATCATGCAAAAATCATATATAATTAAAAATAATATTAACTTCCTATCACAGCTAGCAGGAATACATAATCTGAAAAATTCACAAGTCCTTTATCTCCAAAGAATAGAAAGACGCTATTTTCACCAAAATTTTTGCTTTCATAAACAGGTAAATTCTTAAAAAAAAAAAAAGTTCAAAAATTATATTATCTTTCACAAAATTTTTAAGCATCCTACCAAATATAAATACTCATAACTTTATAGATAAAATAATATAAAATCTAATACAAAATTTGAGCTTTTAAGAAAGAATTAATTAATATGTAAATTTAAGGTTAAGATTCTATATTTCAGTAAAATCAATCTATAAAATTAACAGTTTAATTTTAACAAAGAAAGTTTTGTCAAGAAGTTATCAATCGAAAAAAAAAAACGAAATATAATCACAAAAAAACTCTTTTCTTGGACATGATTTTTTATCATTTTTTAATCACTTAACCAAATTATTGAACAGTATTGGTTACAGCTCAAATATATTACTAATACTAATTAACTCCTTTCTCGAACCTAAAACTAAAAAATTTATACTAAAAACTAAACCCAAAATAGAATTGAAAATTAGTTAACCTGACATCAAAATCTATTTTGACTTTAAGTCTATTTTTATTTTTTATTTTTATACTAAATTTTTAAACCTTATATAAAAAGTAATATAAAAATTATATAAAAAGTAATATAAAAATTATATAAAAAGTAATATAAAAATTATATAAAAAGTAATATAAAAAGTAATATAAAAATTATATAAAAATTATATAAAAAGTAATATAAAAACTATATAAAAAGTAATATAAAAAATTGTAATGAAAAACTTATTGAGTTATTAAAACTTTTTGAGTTGAACCAAAGACTAAAATTATAATGGATCTTCATTTTTTCAATTTGGGTTTTGGTGTTACTACTCACAACTCAACTCAACAACTCAACTCAACAACTCAACAACAGCTCACTTATACAGCATTAAAGTGTAAACTCCACTGATTTGAAAAAAAAAAAGAAGTTAAACTTAGTTAGAAAAAATAAATTTAAAATTGACACTACTATGATTAAAAATGATTCTAGCACTGATACTACTGACAATCTCTTATCTCACTGCATTTGTTATTCAGGGCTTTAAGCAGTACATATGAGACATCGTCTTTCCCTCTAATTTTGGCACATATAAAACCTATGATAAGGGGTTTTTTGAGCATACTAAGATGTAAAAAATGCAATAAATGCTGAGTTCAAATGACTCTGCTGTGCTTATGCTTGTGCTAGGTGTTTAAAGAAAAATAAAAAATAGGAATAATATTAAATTAAAAAAAAATTAAAAATAAAAGATAGAAATAAGAGGTCTTTAAAAATAAAAAAGATATTAACAGATGAGGCCTTAAAAAAAACTCAACGTTATTATTAAAATATATAAGATCATTAGTGAATAATGAAATGATAGGATGATGGGTAACTTTTGTGTGACATACCAATTATTACAGCTTAGAATGATATTTATCATTTTTTCAAACTGCCTAATGATTGATTTGCTACATTATTTAGTAAATAAGTTTTAGTAACCTGAATAATTTTAGGTGAATTCAGGAACATTTATCCCTCATTTAAAAAAAGTAATGTATTCCAATTTTAAATATTTCCTCATTCCAAATACTTTAGGGTTCTCAATAATTCATAAAAATTTTAAACAACACAAAAATCAACAATAAAATATATAAATCAAAATTAAATCAACAATAAAAATTTTTCGCAGCATTTAACAAAATAAAATACAGATAAAAAAATAAAAATGACTATTAAAAGTTATAAAAAAATAAACAAAATAAAAAAAACAACCTTGACATGGACTTGTTTAAAAATGTCCAAACCAAGATCTAAAACAAGTGTTGCAAAATAAAACTTATTGATAATATTTGATAATAATTAAACCTATTAATAAATAATTGGTAATAATAAACTATAAATATAATAATAATATACATAATAAATATTTTAAAAATTAATTATCTTTAATTTTAGATGAAAAAATTTAAGTAAAATTAAATTTTCAAATTTCAGCTAAATTATTTTGATTAAGTTATTGTTAAAACTTAAAAATTACCATGTGGCTGTAGCACATTTGGAGTAAGTGAACGGACAAAGTCTTCAGGTGTCATAAAAATGTCATTAGAATTAATGTCTTGAATAGTAGCAAAGTAACGAAATATCTTATCTGGCGTGCTGTACTGACGTATTCTATTTTCGTATTCAATAATCTATGAACAGAATGAACAATATAATAATTTATAAATATAATGAACAATATGATAGTTTAGGAACAGAATGAACAATATGATAATTTATGAATATAATGAACAATATGATGATCTATAAACAGAATCAACAATGTGATAACTTATGAATATAATGAAAAATATGATAATAGATAAACACAAAAAACAGAAACAACAAACAAAAAAAGTAAAAACAACTCAAAATTTTTTTAACTGTAACCATTAAACTAAATAAAAACAATAAAATAAGAAACAAAATTGTAGCTGTAGAAACTAAAACTTCAAATTAAAAAAATAAAACGAAAACTGCAGCAAAATATATTATCTTAAAAATTCTGATTTATAAAATAAAAAATTGAAAAAAACCCTTGAAGTTGCATTATAACTAAAATGATTGCATTTTCAGTTGTTTCACTAATAAGAGAACTCTATATTCATCTAAATTCATGTTAACAAAACTGATTTTATAAATAAGGGTCAAAATTAATCAATCTGACAAAAGTAAGGATTTTAAAATATTTTCATTTTTAAAATAATTTCATTTTTAAAATGCCATCACTTTAAAACTCTAACTGGTTAGTTAATTAATCTGAGAGACCAAAGAAAATGTTACAAAATAAAATGATCGTTTTTAGAGATAGAAAATCTATTTCTGGCATTAAAATTAGCATTTGACCACATTGACTTTATGCTATAACTGTATGATAAGAATACGAGAAAAATTAGAGTCAACCAGAAAGGGCTTGCATTACATTTACAAAAAAATTAGAAAAACTTAAAAAAACACACATGAATTGATCACTAACATACTTAAGATGATAAATATTATACCACAAAATATTAAACACTTTATGTGAACACATCATAACTAAAAATTCATTAATTTCAATGTTATAACACATGAATTTTTAGTTACGATGTTTTCACATAAAGTGTTTAAGATTTTGTGAGATTTGATTTTCTTTAATGCCACATTTAACTTCAATTAAGAAACTTACAAAAGAAATAAAATATTTGAAATTTTAAGAAAAGTTAAAAATTATGTAAATATTTTTTTCTTTCCTCAATATTGGGTTTAATGATAAGACTTTTGGGGCTTAATGATAAGACTAAATCTGTCTTCTTCTAGCCCCGGTCATGTAATTATTTTTTTAATATAAGTTACGACTGTAAATTTCTTTTTTATCGGCAAAAGTGTAAATAAATAAAAAAATATGCTATGCAATATTTTTTATACTTAAAAAAACTTTGACTTTTAGAAATTAAAACCAAACTAATCCTAGATTGAAAAAATTGACTCACTTTAAGAGATATTAGTATTAAAGTTCAGTCGGTTGGCAAAATTGTCAGCCTGTCGAGGGTTAATCTCTTGTCAGCCCATTGAGGGTTAATCTCTGCCTATCAAGATTTAATTTGTCTGCCTATTGAGAATTAATTTCTTGTTTCCCCACTAATCTTTTGCCACTACTTAGATTTTGAATTCTTATATCTTATACTCTAAATAAAAAATTTCTAAATCCATTTTTTATTATAGATTTTCAGCAAGGTTTTACTATAAATCTATTTCTGATAAAGATATCAGAAATAGATTGTAAGAAAATCATTTTGATATTTTATTCACTGTCAAATCCTCCTCAGAAAAAACCATTCAAAAAGTTCACACTTTTTGTCTTGTTTTCTCATCATAAAATTTTGAATATTTGGATTATTAAATAATTATTATTTCTTAAATATTATATATTATTGTGAGTATTTCAAGTGAAATGTTATATCTCTAAAACTCATATTTAATATATTTTCAATGAGAAGTGAAAATATAAAATAACAGCTATTAAATATTTCTAGCTTAAGTATAGCATTTAGAAAACTATTGTATATTTTTCAAACTATTACAACAATAATACACACAAAAAATAAAATGACAAAAACATATATATTTAAATATTCAGGTTGCCTAAAATAAATAAAAAATATTTTTATTAGAATTGTTCTTTAAGAAAATCATAATAGTTTAAATATTACTATAAGCCCTAGTTTCTAAAAGTAAAACCAAAGAAAAATAAATACACAGAAATGGAAATCCCAGTGCAAGTGCTTAAATAAGTGTTTAAAAATAAACAGAAAATTTAATTGCATGCATGCACAAGCATTAAATTGCTTGCAGAAATGAGACGTAGCCACACATAGCTCAAATCAATATTTAATAAAGTTAGAGAAATAAGCATGTAATGCCACATACAACTACATAAAATTTTCTTGTCTGGTAAAATTTTAAATATAAAAATATTAGACTAATATTTAATATTAGACTAACCTTTCGTTCCTTAAATCCATTTGCAGATTTTATCTCTTCATCAGTTTCTTTAATAATCTCTTCTGATATAGCTTTCATACAATTTTTTTTGTAAAGTATGTAACTGAAAGAAAAAAAACCAATCATTGAACCAATCATTACAGAAAACAGCCTCTTTTTTTTCAAAACTTCAGAATTATCATTTATCTCGTGTTTCCCACTTGATTGATAATTTCCATTTGAGTTTCCATTTCCATTTATTGGTGAAGTTTCCACAAGCTTTGAATAAAACTTACAAGATGATGAATAACAAGTTTTATGAATTAGAGCAGCTGTATGATTGACTCTAGTATAAAAACTTCTATTAAAAAACGGGTAGGTGCTTCTGATATTCTTTAATGTTTTTTGCAAAATAACAGCCATTATTTTTTATTATTGACATAAATAAACCTGTATATAAATAATTGTATGTTTATATTTAAATTAATTAACTTTTTTTTATTTGTATTCTTAATAAAAGTGCTCAATATTCTTAAAGTACAAAGCACTAACTTAGTAATTACATTAGTAATTTCCTTAAATTTTCAGGCGTATATTTTTACACAATTTTTAAACTTTATTTAAATTCTGTCGTATAAAATTCAAAACTAAAGACATCACAGAGAAACATTAACAGACAAATAAACTTGTTACAAACCTATAAAAATGATGTTAAAAATTATGACAGTAAATAAAAAAGAAATAATAAAAAGAATAATAAAATAAACTGAATGAATTTATAATATGATTTTTAATTATTTAAAGTAAAAACTTATCTATTTATATGATGCACTTCTTTTATTTTAAATTATTTTTGGTAAGATTTTTGGTAGTTTCTATGAATATTTTTACTATTAACGATTGATTATAAATGCATTTAAATGATTTTAAACATCAGATGGTTTTGTTGTGATTTTTAGTGTTTATATAGTTATTTTGCTATCTGTGTTTTTACATATATCAGTTTAACCAGCATTTTGCGCTCTTCCACACGGCTGCAAAAACTTTTCCAAGCATATAAAAAAGCATGAAGCCAAAAAATAAGTGTTTTGTTTTAAATTTTAACAAAAGTTTTAAAAACAAAACAACTATTATATAAAAAATGGCTTTTCTACCTAGTATCTATTCTAAGCATTCTTTTCTCTGTTTTGAAAATGAAATTTTTGCAAGGCATCAATTACTTATAAGACATCAAATATCAGGTGAATCTTTAGAAGATTTTCTTCAGTAACTGCATAAACTCACCAAAAATTGTATTTATAAAGATGTTTCAGCTGAATAATATTGAGAGGAACAAATAAGAAATGCTTTTACTTTAAGAATAACTTCAAATTACATTTGCCAACATCTTCTTGAAAATTTAACATAAATTTACAATCAGTATTAATAAATAAAATAAATTAATATAAGCCAATTAATGTAACCCAGGCTTGGCCAGGGTTATATTAATTGGCTTACTATAGGGCCATATAACCATGCAAAAACAATTTGATTTTGAAAACTTGACCAGGGCAGTTAAGATGTTTTAAAAATTTGTATACATTATTAAAATGCGCTAAATTTTTTTTAACTCTAAATAACTCTAAATCGTTTATCTTTACTAATGCTATTATAATATAATACTATGCGAAAAATAAATAAAGTAACAACTTACATTTAATGATTGTTAAAAAAGTACACACATTTAAAATTTAAAAAAAAGATTCTTAACAATTCATTGCAGTAACATAAAAAAAAGAAAATATAATTAAATCGTTTCTTTATAAAGTTGAAATAATTTTTTTTTTAAAGACATTAGAAAAAATACATACTTAAATAACTATAATATATATATATATATATATATATATATATATATATATATATATATATATATATATATATATATATATATATATAAATATATATATATATATATATATATATATATATATATATATATATATATATATATATATATATCAGTGGTGTACACTGGATTTTTAGATGTTTGAATTTTGACACTTTTGTATGTTCATACTTATGTCAAATGAGAATGTTTTGCAAAAAGTTGTGGTGATTGGAGCTTGCGGACAAAAAACTCCAATTTTCGGGCCCACCCAGCCCTTAACGTGGGAGCAACAAGTTGATAGAATAATTTCTTAAGTATTTTTATCTAAGTTTATATTCATCAATAAATTTCAAATTTCATGCAATAACCTCTTAGTTTTTAGTTTTTATGACCCTACAAAGTTTACAGCCCCCTCAAATTAAGGGGGGTTAAAACTTTATATGGCCATAATTTTCAAAAAATAAGAAATTATTGGATGAAATTTGAAATTTGTTGATGATTATCAACTTAGATAAAAATACTAAAAAAATTATTTTATTAACTTGTTGTCGTTAAGAGCTGGGTGGGCCCAAAAATTGGGTTTTTTTTGTCCCCAAGCTCCAATCACCACAACTCTTTGCAAAACATTCTCATTTCACATAAACATGAACATACAAAAGTTTGGAGTTTGCACAATACCTGTGTCAAAAC